TCATAATACTCAAAGTTCATTGCATGTAGTTCATGTTTCAGTCACCTTTGAACTGTAATGTTAACAGTGCCGTTGCTCATAGAAGAATGAGGAAACATGCCCTGCCTGCAGAGCAGATGCTGGTTTTAGCTTCTTTTTTAGAGGCTGAAACTCATCACCACTATAGCTTGTAGGTGACTCATTTTCTTTGAGAGAAGGAGGTCCCTGAGCCAAAGATGTCTGCTGTTCCGGGTTTGACCCAGTTCACTTGTACTGATGAAGCGGCTCTATACTGCGATGACCAATTCATTCCCTGAACTGTTGGTCTATGAATCCTTTTCAGTACGGACTGGGTGATTTGCACAAGTGACTTTTCCGGAATTCCCAGTCATATATCCCCGTATGCCACCAGATTTGCGTGCACTGGAGAGAATGATGCTTACCGTAGCTTCTTAACCCAACAACCTTGCAGATATTGAAGTAGGCCGTGTTTAGTAGCACCCGAGCACTTCCACATTTGAGCTGCCATTAGACCACAGCATGGCATCTCTGCCTGGAGTAGTAGGCTCCGCCTGCTTTTCCTGTTGCCGACACCCTTAGTGCTGCATCTCAGCATCGAGCATATTTTGTCGAAAGTTGCCAAACTGTGTATCAGCTGGGTCAAGAGGATTAACATCGTGAATCCTGCTAGTCATAGTAGCGCCTGAAATATAGTTTCATAGTAGCGCTTGAAGCAGCACACAAGAGAGTACAGGGTTTTGGTGGATATCCGGTACCGTCATCTTTTCATGCCTTGAGCACAATCTGGTAAGTAGCAGCAGTGTAGTAACTGGCACATTGTCTGGAGTTTCACTTGCTGCAGCACACGCAGTCGCCCAGTCGGTCCACAAACGAATTCCCCCAATCTTTCGCGCTCTTTGATTTTTTTCATGTGTGTTGTGGATATAATAGTCTGAAGAGAGAATTGAGGAGGGGAGGCAACCTAGTATGTTTCCCACCCTTTTGCTAACCATTCATGTTAATCGATAGGTGAGAGGAGGTGAAATACTGTAGGAATGCACATATGCGCAAGTAAATTAAAAATCCTGCGAATTAAAAAAATAGGCATATAGGGATGGTATAAAAAGAAAGGGAGACAAGATAAGGATGGGATACATGAAGCATGGTTAATGAACAGATTTGAGTGCGCTGATACCCCAACCCCATCACACAATCCCTATATTGTTGCCTGGTGTGCTACTTTTATAGGGGTTTAAGGTTACTAAAAGCAAGCATTCTTTCACCGTGTCCCTGTTGTTTTTAGTAACACTTATACTGCCACATTCCATTTAATTAAACTCCACTTGGACTCTATAAGGGTGTTGGTTACTCAGTAGTGTTCTGAGTATTGTAATGGTGAATGTTAAATACTTCACCTAGGCAACAATATAGGGATTGTGTGATGGGGTTGGGGATGTCAGCGTACTCAAATCTGTTCAGTAACCATGCTTCATGTATCCAATCCCCATCTTGTCTCCCTTTCTTTTTACACCATCCCTATATGCCTCTTTTTTAAAATTCGCAGCATTTTCAATTTACTTGTCTCCACTCACTTTTATGCTACTACGTATTATTTCTGTGGAAGGGGGCAAGCCCCTATAAAAATTAATAATAGAAAAAAATGCCTGTAGTCGTCATGGAAATGATGTGCATACCATGTTTCATCTCCATGTGTGCTGCCGTTAGCAAGTTTGAGGAGTGAAGAAGTAATTTTAAAGAAAATTGCTATTTGTTGTTGCTATTTGTTGTTGTGGTCGTCGTGGAAATAATGTAATAGACATGTGCACCAAGTTTCACCTCCATGTGCTACAGTTAGCAAGTTTGAGGAGTGAAGAAGAAACTTTAAAGAAAAGTGCCTGAGGCTATTTGTTGCTGTGGTCGTCATGGAAACGATGCAATACATATGCGCACCAACTTTCACCTCCATGCGTGCTACAGTTAGCAAGTTTGAGGAGTGAAGAAATAGTTTTATAGAAAATTGCCTGATGCTTTTTCAAACAGTGTGCGGTCGTCATGGAAATGATATAATAGGCCTATATGCATCTGGATGCGTGCTACCATTGGAAAGTTTGAGGAGTGAGGATGAAAATTTAAAGAAAAGTGCCTGAGGCTATTTGTTGTTATTTACAAACATGTATTGTTGTGATTTTGATGTTGGCTATTGAATAGATTATGTACACAAACTTTCGTTCCCATAGCTCTTACCAATTGTGAGTTTATACTGACACATGTGAACCGATTATAATGTATTGCCTTGGGCTATTTGTTGTTGTTTACAAACAAATAAGTATGACCAGTCTCTTCGGGTGACGGATATCTTCATTCTTCTAAAATTTCATTACTATATGTCTTTTCGTTTTTGAGTTACGCGAGTTCAATCTGAAGAAGAAGATGAACAAAACTCCCTATCATAGCCCCATACATCTATGATGCTAGGTACCATGCCCATCCCTATGTACTAAGTACTACCATACTTAGAGCTAAGTAATTTAAATCACTCATCTGATTGGTTCTTGAGCAGACTCTAATTCGCATAGAGTCCAGAATTAAGGGGAATTAGAGTCCGCCGGACACTAATTCTCGTGCATGCGCACGCGTGCTTCACCGTTTTAGTTTGCTGAGACTAAGCTACTCTATGAAGTTGAATGTGGCAAGAGCAGCTCGCCTCTCTCCGAAGATATCGAAGCCTGTCGCCATTTCTCCAACGCGCGTTTAGCCATGCGTTGCCATCGCTCTTTGTAGGAACAAAGCGGGAGTGGGAGTGGCCGGCAACTTGGCTGTTGGGCGGGGTCTTGTGAGGACTCGTTGTCATCGCTCGCTGCTAGGAGAAGAGACAAGCTCAGCCTTATCGTTGTGTGATTCTTCAAGCCAGTCGCGGATAGTCTCTCCGAAGATATCGAAGCCTGTCGCCATTTCTCCAACGCGCGTTTGGTTTGAATGAACGCATTACCATAGCTCTAAACCGGTTAGACACCTCGTCATGGAAACTACGCGAATTAGAGCGCCTTGGGGGCCCTTTAGTAGTGTACTCGCTGCGCTCGAATGCCGACAGCTCAGGGCCCCCGCGGCTCTCTAATTCACGTATTTTCCTGGACTCGGCATCTAACCTATATTAATAGTGATAATCACTAAGTACGGTAGTACTTAGTATTAAAAATCTAAAAAGAGGCATATAGGGATGGTATAAAAAGAAAGGGAGACAAGATAAGGATGGGATACATGAAGCATGGTTAATGAACAGATTTGAGTGCGCTGACACCCCCAACCCCATCACACAATCCCTATGTTGTTGCCTTGTGTGCTAGGGGCTAAAGGTTACTAAAAGCAAGCATTCTTTCACCGTGTCCCTGTTGTTTTTAGTACGTAACATTTATACTGTTACTTTAATTAAACTCCACTTGGACTCTATAAGGGTGTTGGTTACTGAGTAGTGTATTGTAAGTTCTGAGTATTGTAATGGTGAATGTTTAATACTGCACCTAGGCAACACTATCGGGATTGTGTGATGGGTTGGGGGTGTCAGCGTACTCAAATCTGTTCATTAACAATGCTTCATGTATCCCATCCATATCTTTTCTCCCTTTCTTTTTATACCATCCCTATATGCCTCTTTTTTTAAATTCGCAGCATTTTCAATTTACTTGTCTCCACTCACTTTTATGCTACTACGTATTATTTCTGTGGAAGGGGGCAAGCCTGCAAGTTTGAGGAGTGAAGAAGTAATTTTAAAGTAAAGTGCCTGATGCTATTTGTTGTTGTGTTCGTCATGGAAACAAAATGCGGTCGTCATTGAAATGATATAATAGGCATACTTACCACCAAGTTTCATCTCTATGTGTGCTACCATTGGAGAGTTTGAGGAGTGAAGAAGTAAATTTAAAGAAAAGTGCCTGAGGCTATTTGTTGTTGACAAAAATGTATTGTTGTAATTTTGATGTTGGTGATTGATGTCTACAAAGTTTCGTTCACGTATACCATTTGTGAGTTATACTGACACATGTGATTCCATTATAATGTATTGCCTGGGGCAATTTGTTTTTGTTTACAGTAAACAATGTTGTTTACAAACAAATAAGTCTGACCAGTCTATTCGGGTGACGGATATCTTCATTCTTTTAAAATTTCATTACTATATGTCTTCGTTTTTAAGTTACGCGAGTTCAATCTGAAGAAGAAGAAGGAGAAAATGAACAAAACTCCCTATCATAGCCCCATGCATCTATGATGCTAGGTACCATGCCAATACCTCGTACTTAGTGATAGGGATGGGCATGGTACCTAGCATCATAGATATATGGGGCTATGATAGGGAGTTTTGTTCATCACCAACACAAAAACCGAAGTGCAAACCATCGGCGCACTGTGACGCGCACGTGTAAGTAAACGCATGCGCCGTACCACTAATATATGGGCTGAGTTTTTTTACTCGTGGTCTCTTGCTAGCTCGCGCAGAGTCTGACGCGGGCTAACTACACTACTAGATAGCATGCGAGAGGCGATACACGCCCTGCGTTGCATGTTCTGGTGCCTCCGAGGTACGCAGAGCACGCGGATCGACCAGACCGTGGTAAGCCATCCCATGTATTTGCATATTGGTTTTTCGCGCTCTAGCTTTGCAACGGAGCATTTTCAGAGAAAACCCCACAAATTTTCTGACCTTCATTGCCCGTTAAGTAGGTCGTATCCTTCGAGAAGTGAGATGTAGAGTAACAGACAGACACACAAACCAACTACCGTACCCTCGCTGCGCATGCGCGTCGAGGGTAAGAAGTTTTGTAGGAATGTACATATTATCGACAACCACATGGGCAACGTCGTACTTTTTTGCTACAACAAAAGTGCCCCAGGCAGTACATTATATTGGGCATACTACATGTGGCAGTGTAACTCACAATAAGAGCTACGTGAACGAAAGTTTGTATACATCAAATAGCCAACATCAAAATCACAACAATACATGTTTGTAAATAACAACAAATAGCCTCAGGCACTTTTATGTAAATTTGCTTCTTCACTTCTCAGACTTTCCAATGGTATATAGCACGCATAGAGATGAAACTTGGTATGTATGCCTTTTATATCATTTCCATGACGATTACATGTTTCCATGACGACCACATATTGTTTGAAAAATTTTCTATAAAACTACTTCTTCACTCCTCAAACTTGCTAACCGTAGCACGCATGGAGGTGAAACTTGGTCCATGCATAATACTGTTTCCATGACAACCACAACAACAAATAGCCTCAGGCACTTTTCTAAATATTTCTTCACTCCTCAAATTTGCTAACTGTAGCATGGAGGTGAAACTTGGCATGTGTGCCTATTATGTATATCATTTCCAAGATGATTACTTGTTTCCATGGCGACCGCATATTGTTTGAAAAACTGATGCAATTTTCTTCAAAACTACGTACTTCTTCACATTGTACAAATTTTTTACATGCACATATTTGTTTTCTCACTTTTATTAGTGTTCTAGCAATGTAGCATGGCTATAAGTTTGTTTGCTTTAACCTTTTTAGGTTACTTCCATAGTCTCACCTAGTGTTGATGGATCATTTAAGTCAACCAATTTACCCATGGATATCCATCTTAAGCCTAATGTTCTTCATGAACTGTTTATACAGGGCAAGTGGAAGGTGAGTGCACATACGTATAAGGAGTATATACATTATGAGGTACATATTTGTTTTTGTTACTTGCATGATGAAAAATGTGAAACAGGGATTGATATTTGGTGCATGTGTCATTAGGGAGGTCAAAGCAAAGGTGTGCGCTTTTACTCGTGTTGTTTTACACGGAAAAGCACAGGCAGAAAATAAACACCAACACAACCCTTATTCCAATGAAAAAAGAGCTGCTCTATCCTCTCAACACGAGATGAAGCGAAATGCAAAACTACATGAAAGTTAATATGCACTAGCCTTGCATTTACACGCTGCACCAGCATTCCGTTTCTTGGCTTCTTGCTTTTAACAGCATTTACCATTTCGTTTACTCGAATAAGTTTCTGTCTCTTTTCCTTTTATTCGCATTATATTTGCTTGGTTTGCTGTTATTAAGGGATAATTTGGGCATATTTCCTGTCAAGGAAATCTTTGGCCTTTCATTTAACACAGGTTCGATTTTCTGTTATAGTAACACAAATGTTGTGATGATGAACCCATGATACCACACCCGTGTACTTAGTTTGAAGACCCTCCATAAGAAAGATACACGTACAAATGCCCGTTTCAATTATTACTGTCAGAGACTGTTAACAAACTTCTTTGTTAGGGTCCCAGCATAAGCAAGTAAAGGCAAATTTCTTGCTGCTGCATCGCATTTACCGCCACAATTCTGTTACGCACGTTCTATGCTGTCAGTTCTACAAATTGTTTGTGGCAAAAAATCCTGCATGTCCTGCTTCATGAACATTGTAGCTGACATGGAACATAATTTTTTGACACAATACAACGTGTGTAACACAATTACACACGTATGCACTGATGCGTGCTCAAATTCTATTTAATGTGTTTTCACTCCTACAGGACCCGAATTCATGAATATAGTAATAAGTCATAACCTTTTAAATTCTTTTTTGTTGCATCGTTATATATTCATAAGTTTCCCATACTTTTCTATGGGAGCGGAATATAATGCAGTCATGCACGCAATTGCGTGTTCTTGCATGTCAGTTTGGGAGGAGTGAAATCCAGTGCGCGACTTTACCAGGAATGAACAGTGAATGCGCGGTGGCTTTATCAATGTCCTATGGTATACACTGTCACATTAGAGACTGGTGGGTCCTAGTTAATATCATACCCATGGTGCATCCCAAAAAATATGATAACTGGCTGGATATTCTACAATGTGGATAGGCCCAATGTTCATGTTTGCTTATGTACTGTGTATATACAGTGTAGACTGACCCAGATAGCGCACAATGCAGTTTGCTTAGCGAAAACCAATTTAAGCTAGGCTAGCCACATAAGCTAATGGAAGCCAGGTGAAGAGAATGAAGAGCAGGGTTCTGCCTACGATGGTCGGCGGTGGTCGCATGCGACCACCGCCGTATAAGCCCGACCACCGCTGAAAGTCTCCTGACCACTCCTAAATAAAAGGCGGGGCTGGTGCCTTCCGCCCGTATAGTACGCATCTAAGAGCGATGAATGAATATCTGCAATGGAAACGTGGCCTCCCTGCGGCTCTAAGATGACACTTGGCTTTCTAACACACGAAGAACGAATCTAGGCTTCGTCTGCATGCCTACACTAGTATAAACATGCAAACAAAAAGGCACGCACGAACGCGAAAAAAACCACGCGTACGTGTTAATTCCGCGCATGCGCATTTACGCGCGTATTATTTCTCTAGGACTGTTTTTCTAAAGTCAATAATGGCCACCACTAAAATAATCCTGGGCAGAACCCTGGGAGAGGAGTTATAAAACTCCAGCCCAATGTTGTAGAATGCCTAATTACGCAAGCGCAATATTACGACAATACTCGGGCAAAAACCAATAGTAATAGGCGGGATATTACATTATCCATATTCTATAAAGCGGAGTAAAATGTATGGGAAAGCATAGGAAATGTTTTTGGATATCAGGTTTGTATGGTAATTAACGGGATATTTTATTTAAACGATGTGATATTAAGTAGGACCCACTGTACTAGCAACAAATTGGGCATAACCCCTGCGTGACAGAAGTCAAAATAAGGTAATATCCAGAATGTGGCCGCGCCCATTTTTTGTGCTGGCTATACTATGCCTGCGCATACCGTAGGAAGCAGGGAGAACAGTGCATAGTTGCGAGGAACCGTTCACTCCTGGTGAAGTCGCGAACTGGTTTTTGCTCCCATAGAGCGTGTTTTAAAGGCACAGGCATATTAGAGCCTCTTCGAAAAAATAGGGCAGCGCCCCTGCGTGTCAAAGACCACACCCATTTTTCAATACGCCTGTGTACCATAGGAGGCAGAAAATATGCTACTGCACATGATGGAGTCGAACTGTTTGCTCCCAGGTAAGTTGTCACTGGTTTTCTCTCCCATTATGGAGGAGAAAATAATCGTGAATATGCTAATAAGTTTGTAAAACAAGGCCGGAAAAATCGACGTACAACATTACGGTGCTAGCAGTGCAATATGTCACGCATTTATTGCTATCATGTAGAACATTACGATATGAGTGTCGTATCCCGGGATAGACATATCTCTCCCTCCCTCCCTCTTGCGATCATCAAACACATTGGCACCTCCTCTATAAGGAAAAATATGTTTTGCAAGCCTGGTCCTAAATAAGTGGAAAATCGGCCCGTTGGGACAACTAGGTAGGCTCACTTCACTCGCCAATTTTGTTAAACATTGAACGGTGGCCGTAATTCGAACTAAACCTTCGCTGGCTATGGGCCTGTAAACCTTGCACCTACCTATTTGTGGTTACAGATAGTCCTACGTATATGTGTGTAGTATGTGCACGAAATTCAATCCTTCCTTTAAATCTGTGTGAACATGCGGATTCACTGTATTGCTGTTGTCTCAGGTAAATTCTTGACTTCATTACTAAAATGATAAGCACTAAAGTGCAAACCCTCGGCGAACTGTGCATGCGCGGTAACAGTAATTGATGGGCTGGGCTTTTTATGCCTTTACTCGTGGTATCCCGCTAGTATGCTCGATACATGCCCTTCGTTGTGACTTGTTGTGCCTTTAGGATACACAGAGTGAGCGGATGCGGTCGAGGTAAGCCTGTGCTCTTTTTTATATTGGCCTGTTCACTTGCTTTTTACTGAACGCAGCAGTATACGAAAATCGCCTTTTATGAAAAAATGAAGCCAGTGGTATTGCTGTTTTGTTGTTCCGTTACGCGTAGTCGCAGAAAACGTGATAACAGACAGACAGACAGACACACTCACAAACCAATTACCGTAACCCTCGCTACGCATGCACGCCAAGAGTTAAATATGATAATATGCTTGTTACAGGACATAGACTGTGTATGGTGCTCCTCGCTAAGTTGCGATATTTTAACAATGGGTAAGAACTTCCTTGTATATATCATGCTGCTCATTTTTGTCAGGTTGGAAAGCAGAATATGGATACCTTTGTTGAAGATGACACTGAAGGTATGTCCATCAATGGTCCTGTTGCGCATATGGTCCTGTTGTGCATAATGTTATTCTTGCGTGGCAAACACATGAACCAGAATTGAAATAATCATCTGCCTCAGTCAGCATTATCTGAGAAACAGTGGATATTGGTTAATTCATGTTATACTCTGTCCACCTACCTACTTAAGAAACCTTCAGCCTTCCTGCTGTGTACATACGTACCTTTGAACCAGTACTAGATTTGTAGGTTTCTATGCATGAGCTTGTCTTTATTTAGTGACAGCAATATCACATATTATGTACTTGGGAATTATTCTACAAGGATGTGGTATACACAAAGGTTCCTGTACAAGGAAGCAAGGGTAGTGTGTAAACGGAGCAAATGGTTTGAGGCCTGTTCAAATTTGCACGAGTTTTAGTTGCAGTGTATTCTCTGCTTAACATGGTAACTAATATATAAACGTATCTGTACGAGTGGCAAAGGGAAGGCACCATTATATTATACTTATCCATCAACGGCACCATTGAATCAAAAAATATCCCCTCCCTGCAAGTGACGAGTTACTTGTGGAGGGGGAAACGTGCAAAGCTCCTTTAAGGATGTAGGTGAGGACCTGATATGCCGAGTGCTCTATCAGGCCTGGAGATCACATCCAAGTTCAATAGTACACAAGCGTAAACAGTGCTTTAACCGGTTTGTAGCAAAACCAGGTAGGCTGGTAGGTTGTACTATTGCTGGACAACTCTCTGGGTTGTGTGAACCTTGCCAGCCTTGCAAGTTTTTCTATATACAGTTGCATCGCAGCATTAAATATTTCTGATTGTAGGCCATTCCTGTGTGGCAACTATTTTTGGTGTGCAAACTGATTCAGATCATTTTTGAACTTAACATGTGCAAAGATTAATGAGGGCTCTCTTTTCTTTCATCAGATTCGTTCCTGTTATACAATGGTAGCTGTGATACCATTGAAATTCCAGATTCCTCTTCTATCAATGTAATGAACTTTAAGATATGTATGAAGATATGTAATGTATTAAGATATGTATTGTCAGTGAGTGTATTAACAGCACACATTGTGGGCACAATCTACTCATGTCTCAGCATCTACTGTAACGGCTGAACTGAAAATGTTAGCATTCTGTTAAGTTGTGAGTAATATACACTGGAGACTTTAGATTTAGTGTGTTGGGGTTCATAGGCCTCTACTCATCTATGTGCTGAGTGAAAGTATAACCTTTGAACTCATAAACATGTGTACAGAGTTTGTAGTTAGGGATAAGTGTTACATATTTGTGTCACAGGTCTCGTTTGGGGGTCAAGATCTGGTGGATGTGAATATAAGCCGCTACGAACTAGTTTCTGAGCCCAGAAAGGTAGCCATCAGCGGTTGCCATGTATTATTTCGCCTTTTATTCATCTGTGTGTTGAATGTATTGCAGCTCAGCTCAACATTATAACACACCGTAGTTTCTGCTCACATGCAATGTACGGGCAATGCATTTTTTTCTAGGAAGCAAACGTATGGCAGAAGGACTTGTGATGCTGTGAGAAAGAATAATGCTCTTCAGATGCCATTAACCACAAAACAATTGCGCAAACAATTTTTGTAATTTATCCCACTCACACTCTGGACATATGATTCCACATGTGTAGGTAGTATATACTGATGCTGTTGGTTTTACACTTTTGCCGCCTCTCTTTATTGATTGTGTTTTTTTTTAACTTGCAGGTGGAGAAGATTCACATAGGGTATTCCAAAAAGTCTAAAAGAATTGATGCGAAGAGGCTTAAAGATACAATGTGGGAAATAATTCTCAAGGATGATACTGATACTTCAGTGAGTTTGTAGAGACGTTGTGTAGCTAATATGTAATTTTAGGGAGGGTATATAAAGCAAGGACGCATAATAGGTATAGGGTTACGGCATAATGAATGGGTGTAGCTGATTTGTTTGCCTTTGTTTTGTTTCGACCTTGTTGACATGAATAAAGGTTTCATCCCTCTATCTCATCTAAGATTAGGTGTTTTCGTGTAATGGCCTGAAGTAGTACAATTACCTATAATACTATCTCCATCTCCTCGCCCTCTTTCATCCCAGTCAGATCACACTTGTTTGTTTTATATAGTACGACGGCAAAATAGTCATTATGATGGAACAAATGTGTTGGTATAAAAGATGCTGACATGTTCTAGGAAATTAGTGGGGTACCTAACCATGATTCCTACTAAACATAGTGAGAAACGAAAAGTCTGCCCAGCCCTTGCAGTAAACATTACAAACATGCCTACTGCAGAAGAAGTTTGCTCTTGTGTGGAAATCCTATGGCTTAAATTATTCTCATAGGTTTTCCATGCTCTCTAGCACCTTTTTGCGTGGAATATACAATGGGTGGGCAGGGTTCTGCCTACGATGGTCGGGGGTGGTCGCATGCGACCACCGCCGTATAAACCCGACCACCGCTGAAAGTCTCCCGACCACTCCTCCATTCTAGCGTGCGCGTGCGTAATGTAAACGCGGTTGACCTAAATAACGCCCATTATATGTACGTACGTGGACCGACCGAATCAGGCATGTCACTTCTAAAGTTTTTAAAGAGGACTAGCAACACCACCGAGCATGAACCGCCCGCTAAGCATCTGTGCAGCGAATCAGGAGAGGCTCAGGCTGACCTGCAACTGGAAGAAGCTGCAAATACCGATCTGTGCGAAGAATCGCCTGACAGTGACTGCCCTGAATCTAGTACTAGTTCGAGCGCAAGAAGCACATCCTCAAAGCAGTCACGTCGATTCAGAAAGGTTTGGCTTGTTGGGAGGGAACAGTGGTTGGAATATTCAAGGCATGATCGTGGAATGTTCTGTTCCTTGTGTCGGAGATTTAATAAGCGGCCGTTGAACAACGATGTTTGGAACACACAGCCGTGTACTAGGTTGCGACTTCAAAGCGTACTTACGCACGAACGTAGCGTCGCTCATAAAGATGCTATACAATTGGCAGCAGCTGCTGCAGCGACTGAAAATGTGGTGTCAGCTTTGAATCGCCCGGTATCAGCAAGAGGTATGGAACAGGCTTTTTACTGTCTGTATTTTTTGGCCAAACGAAGAATCCCACACACTACGCACTATGAGCCATTACTTGATTTGATCGGTCTTTTGGGCATAGATATTAAATCTAAAATCAGTATTGCTAAAAATGCTACATACACCAGTGATAAAACAATTCAGGATATGAATACGTAATATCAGATGTTGTAGAAAACAACATTATAAGTTAAATGACAAAGTCAGATCACTTTTTATTGATGTTAGATGAAACTACGGACTGTTCTGTTGTTGAGCAACTAGCTATTCATGGCCGGTATATTTCACCTACAACTGGAGAACTGAAGTGTCATTATTTAAAGACAATTGATCTATTGCATTCTGAGTCACTTGAAGATAACGCAAGTGTGCGTGCTGGAGCAGAAACAATTACATCACGTGTGTGTGGATATATTGAGCAAGTGTCTCTAGACATGGCAAAACTCTGTCGTATTGGAACAGATGGTGCAGCAACTATGGTAGGATCCCGAACTGGAGTTGTTACTCGACTACAAGCTATCCAACCATCAGCTATTGGAGTTCACTGTGCCGCTCACAGGCTGAATCTAGCTTCTTCTCAGGCTGGTGATAATGTGCCTTATATTAAGCCTTATAAAAGAATACTTCGTCAACTCTTCGACTTCTTTGACAATAGTGCTGTGCGTATGGCTGGGCTGGATGCTATTAAACAATTGTTGGGGGAGAGAGGCAAACTTCAAGCCCCTTCATCGACTAGGTGGCTTAGTGTCGAGACTTGTGTTAGTAAACTAAAGGTTTGTTTTGCGTCTGTTGTACTTAGCCTTGAAAGAGAGGGGGAAGAGAGAAGCGATGCTAAGGCAATTGGATTGCATGGGCTAATTACACAATATCGGTTTGTATCCACTATGCTACTACTGTGTGATGCTCTACCACACCTTTCAAGAATGTTTAAATGTTTTCAAATGACTGAATGTGACTGTAGTATAATCCCAAAAGTTCTTGCATGCACAATTACTTCCATGGAGCAGTTGAAAACATGCAATGGCATCCATCTCAATGGCCTACAGCAATACTTACATGACCTTCAGGAAAAGAATATTGATATAAAAAAGCCACCTAATCTAGCAGAAGATTATTTCAATGACCATGTTCGAATGCCCTTTTGTCACACTTAATAGAAAATATTCAGGAAAGATTCCCCAACACAACTATCCTTGCTTCTTTTGACATTTTTAATCCTCGGAAAATGCCCAATGAAGAAAATCTACTGGAATATGGGAATGAAGAGATAATAGCCCTTTCTGAACAGTTTAAGGACACTGTAACTAGCAGGGAAGTGTGTCAAGAAGAGTGGAGTGGGTATCGACAATTCCTGAGAATGAGTGCAAATTTAACAAAACGCAGTGAAGTAATAAATGATCTTTGCACTAATGATACATCAGCAGCTCTTTTCCCCAATTTGGCACAATTTGCAAGAATCTGCAGAGTAATTCCTATTCACACCGCGGATGTCGAAAGGACATTTTCACAGCTTAAACTGATAAAAACTAGAACACGTAACCGCATGAATGAGAAGACACTGGATTCTTTATTGAGAATTGCATTAGAGGGACCGGATGTAGATAAATTTCCTGTAGCCGAAGCTGTTGAAGTGTGGGCGTCCAAAAAAAATAGACAGATATTTTCATGAATGTTTTTGTCATTGTATATCATGAATGTAAATTTATTTACCTAACGTCAATAATGGCCACCACTAAAAAAATCCTGGGCAGAACCCTGGGTGGGTGTTGAAAAGTTAAGGTGTCTAATGCCTGTCTCATGACACAAATCCTAGGATTTCCTGTGAAATACACCGGATGTCCTGTTAAATATTATACAGGAAGTTATATCCGAATCATTGAGCAATATCCTAGCAGCGTACTTCTGCAGACCTCTCTTCACGAAAAATCCCTGATCGAGGTACTCTGAAAGAAGTAACGAACTTCGGCATGCCTCTGGCATAATGCATCAGTTGGTCGATTAAAATATGGTGAAACCACTAGTTTCTATACCTTTTTCTTCCTTGATTCTGGAACACTACAGGCATGGAGTAAGCCTACTGCATAACCTGGCGTGGCAGAGCCAGGGACGCAACGACTGAGACTTTCGACAACGTGAAAAAAAACTGTAGCCTTATGGTCTGAAACGCACTTTTGGTGTAAAATTAACTACACCACGCCTACTGTGGGTGTTTCCACAACTATCCTCATAGACGTGGTATAACTAGGACACGTTTTTGTGACTTTTTACCAACGAAGCCTGGAGTGCAAATGCCATAGATAGAATAGGTACATGTTACAGTGGAGTCAGGAATGCTGTTGCTACACGTATCCAATATGACAAAAATCTGTGATTGTCTGTTATTTGGCAATAAATGATTACGTAAACAGCTTGTATTTTAGGGTGTAGGCAGTTTTTAGCCAGAAATCCGCTTGTTGATGAACTAGAACCCCAATCATACATGTCCAGTATTGCCAACAAAAAAAACAAGAAATGCGACACGTTTACATCACTTTTACCTCATGCCTTGAAATTCATAACTAGCACAAAAAAACCTTGGCCTTACTGGGTCAAAAGATACCACCAGAACTAGTAGCACTGCTTGCAATTAGCTTACATTTTAATCAGCAAAGATAGAAGATCATTTAGATATTTATTTTGTGTGGATAGCATGTACTATGGCAGAATAATGGACCTCAACGTCAAAAAAATACAAGGTTTAGTCACTGTGTTGTGCACAGCACTGTGTATATAGGAGGAAAGTTCATAGCTTGGGAGGCCAGGCACTGTGCCCTAGGTAGGGCATAAGTGTTGAACTTTTTCATGAGATTGGAAATTACATATTAATGTTTCAGTTTTACTAGTTTTTGTGCTAGGCCTTTGTATGTGAACTGTCAGTACACATATCTGCTGAAATTCGTACTTTTGCCTGCTGACATGGAGAATGTAAAGCACTAGCGTTGTGTGGTATGATAGTATTTTTTATGCAAGTAAGCCTTGTCAGCCATCCCTCTCTCCTCACACAAATATTAGTTATCTTGACCTACTATCCGAGTTTTCAGAAAGACGGTGAGGGCCTGGTGTAGGCTTATTGATTACTTTTGGTTCTTTAAGTTTATTTTTGATATTTTGGTTACAGGGAAAAGGCCGGATTGAATTCAGCAGCTTATGCTTCCAGGTGTCAACTCTTGTACCAGAGAACATGAAGACTGATTTAACAGTTCCAATTTGCTTCGTTTTTTTACTCCATTTGGCAAATGAAAAGGTATTTTATTTTGTAGAGAATTACAGATTTTACATAAGGTTTTACCTGTTAAACCAAGTCAAGTCATACATTGGCGTGACTCGCGCATGCGCAGTGGCCAGGATTTTCCATGTGGCAGCCAAGCAGGAGAAAGTAACTGGCATTCCCCCCAAAAAAGTGCTTGGCTTCCCCGAAAAAGGGAGCCATCGAGGCCTCCCTGGTGGCATTGTTGGCGACACTCACCGACACTCGTGCCTGCAGACAGTCACACTTACAATCACTTGACACACTTTGACAAGCCCTACTGACGAATACTCATGTGGACATACAGCCTTACTCTCACAGAAATACTGGCATGGAGTGAAACCTGCTAGGATTCTATACATTCACAAGTTATGTTTGCTAATGGTATGTTGGGTCCCAGTATGCAAAGGACTCTCTTGGTGGTCCAAAGCTGGAGCTGTGAACAGACAGAAATAAGGTTACCAGGTGCTAGTGGAATTGGTCAGCTAGTATCACTTTTATGTCTCTGTGCCTCTGCTAGCCAGTCAGCAGTCAGCTTGTGTTCATTTATGTTATGTGCCTCCACTATCTGAAGCGGTCAGCTGGTATCGCTGGTTGTGTTTATGACCCTCTGCTAGCTGAAGCAGTCAGCTTGTGTTCATTTTTGTTCACCTGCCTCCGCTAGCTGAAGCAGTCAGTTGGTATCACTTGTGTTGTTTATGTGCCTGTTTGCTGAGGCAGTCACCTGGTATCGCTTGCTGTGTTCATGTGCCTCCGCTTGCTGGTGTCCCCTTTATGGTCATGGGCCTCTTCTAGCTGAGGTGGTGCAGCTGGTATCGCTATGGTGTGTTTGTGCGTCCCTGCTAGCTGAAGCAGTCAGCTGAGGATTGTGTGACGTTTAGGTGTCTACATGCCATTTCTTCAGTGTTTGTGGCCGGTGTGTCGGTGATCATTCAAAATCTGTACCTCAATACAAATGTTGACTTGTAGACATGGCTAAGTTAACCAGACCAAATGGGCATACACTATATAAGACAATACCCATGAAAGACACAGAAGATCATGCTATGAAGTGCTAAGCTTGCGGAGTACGTATATAGAACACTAATTGTTACGTACCTCTGATAATGCAAATGATCTAAAGTGCAAAATCTCGGCACGAGGAACGTGGTCACCTGCTATTAGCCACCACATGCTATTAGCCACCAACAGCCGGGACATGCCGCGGTGTAACCCAACAATGGAGGTTTCTCACTTTAACACAGCTGCAGTGGGTTGTGTTTAGCGCAACACACACAGTCCCTCAGTAACTGCACAATGATCTACAAAGCCAGTATAGAAGAGTCCACCAGTCCCACCCACTCTGACTTATCACTGCCATCAAAACTGTAGCCATGTGATGATAATAACTATCAACACATTGTTAGCGAGTGAAGTGAGCAGTTCAACTTTTCATTTGTGTTCTGCACGATTTAGATTAATGTAGAACATTACAGCATGTGCAGTCCCTGTCGAGCCGTGTCACAAAAATATAATACTGCATTGAAATGACTAGGTAGGCTCGCTTTGCTCACCAAAAAGGCCCACATAACATGAGCTGTTTGCAGTTCAGATCCACTTTCTTTATTGCCTGTTTGCAGGGGTTAGTACTGTCTGATGGAGGAGGCAGTTCATCGGAAGTCATGATAAGAACAAGTGACCCTGGGTAGCATTAATATTATTCATGCATGCTCTCATCATTGTTTTTATCTGTCTGTGTAAACCAACCCTATGTGCTTTAAAAGATTTGTAACAGTATTCACCAGGTGATATTGATCATTAAGCACCATAAACATGACAAGGACTCTGTAGGATTATCAAAATTTCGGTTTCAATTTGGATCAGAACCCAGTTGTAAAGTGCAAATGCTTAACCTAGTTTCAGTATAACAAGAAGCAGCCTCTGGGCATTGATATCTTGTAAGAGTCCTCTAACAATGAGACTTGGTACACTGGTAATTTAAACAACTGTCACTCTAATAACTTGACATGCATATTTCCATAACTGTTTGGAGAAAGAGTTAAAAATATCTGATTTTTTATTTATAAGTTGAGCTCAAGCATCATCTTCAGACACAGTGAATGAAGCTGACCTGGAGAGATTGGAGATTCGAATGAAGCAAGAATCAAGTCATGGAGATAATAAGATGTGTGTAAAAGCAATCTCGGAAGGATTGGTATATACTATTATTTACAAGCTGCTCGAGCTCTCAAGTTAGTGTCTGGGTGAGCTCTTAATAAATAATAAAGGGAATGTTGCAGTAAAGATCTAAAAACGGAAACATAATTGTATTCTTACACTGGGCTCCATTCTGTTGCGCTGCGCATGCGCAGAACCTGTCAAATCCGGCAATCTCATTGGCTTGGGTTACCCGATTTCCGACTCAGCACAACCAAGAAATCGGACGTATAATACCGTATAGCGGGAAATTTTCGCGTGGTGCAAAATAAGCGCACGCGCGGGGGCGGGGCTAAGAAGCCAGCAGCTGAATCGAGATCGCGCGCGATGGCTCTTTATCGCTATTTTCAACCTGCAGCAGACTCCCTTCCGGACCCCAAAGGACCTCTTTCAACAAAACTCACATCCTCCACTAAGAGAAGTTAGGAGCGCCGCTACGAAGCCATGGCGAAGAGAGGAAGCTACGCTAAGTTCACACCTGGCTCTACTAACAATTTGGGCGTGGTCTTACGTTGGGCGCGTGCGCGAAAGATAAAATTTCTGCTGGAGTCTCTACGGACGACCCCGAAATATGCACCCGCGAAAATTTCCCGCTATAAATACTCTTTTTTCGCGCGCGGTAGTACGTGAGGGTCTGGGCACATGGCGGGGGATCGGATCGAGAGAGAGAGAGCTAGCTAGCTAGACTACTACTACACACCCGTACCCCCGGACCCGACCCCCTGTTCTCGCGCGCTGGGGAACGTGATCGTGAGGGTCTGGGCATGCACGGGACTAGTGAGCCTGGCCCCGTCGACGAAAGTTTGGATCGGGAGTGCAGCAAAGAAAGTCTGCTTGGCAACCCTGAGGCCGAAGCAAAGGGAAGCGATTGGCGCACTCAGCACTCTAACGATATTTGGCCGTCACTTTTGGCACGCTCTAGATCTACAAACGCCGGTCATGTTCCTCTGCACTCTACATCGCTATAATATATATTACAGCAGCCAGCTAGGCGGATGTACGTGACTTTGATTGGCCGTTCTGGAGCCAAGCTAGATGCACAGTATATACCTTACTTCGAAACTCTGTGTGGTTTCACCGTCCGAGTTGTAAAAAAGGTTCAAAGTAAGGTTTATACTGTGCATTTAGCTTGTTGGCTCTTAGGGCTCACGATGTGCGTTTGACGGATTAGTAGTAGGGGATCGCTGGGGTTACATCCACTCAGTTCCAAATCATCGCCGAATCCCGCTTGGTTTTGCTACAGTACGAGGAAGAAATTGCTGTGTCAGCATTTACAATTACGCGATCCGTCCGACCTGGTGTTATTGTGGAGAGCAAGCTATGCTTCTTCTTCTTTATAACCTCCATTGATCGAAGGAGAGTAGCCCTAGGTGCGGGCGAAGATGAAGTGAAGTGAATCAGGCTAGAAGTCGAGTGCGAGCAGATTCGTGAAGAAATTCAATGCACGCGTGCTGCACGGGGGTACACTCGGTGCAGAGGACGAAACACTGGGGGAGGGGCGACGCTGGTGTACTGTGACCTTTGACGTTTGACCCCGAGAGGAAGGCCTAAGGTATAATTATATATACTTCGTACGGCCTCTCTTGAAGGCGCAATGAGCCATCTTCCCACTGCTACCAGGAAAAGGTATATACTTATATATATATATAATGCACCGGATCTATGGGACAAGCGCAGGTATAATTGAGCAGGCTATCGTATGGGTTGGGGTAGCTATGACTTGGTGGACAGGGTCAGGATGGGGAGTGGGAGGGGGCCTCAGGAAAATTAGCGGGTAAAGCAAGGCCAGGCCTTCGGGAAAAACAGCCTGAATGTCCTTGCAAAATGACTCTCCTGAGCAACCTATCTGGCTCTCCTGGCATTGATTTGATGCGGTGAGCATCAGCACAGCTTACGACCCCTGTGTACTATTGCTGAAGGTGGCCCCTGACATGTTGGAGATTTCATGCCATGGAAGCCTGTGCCCTGGGGCAGGACTAGCCAGCACACGCTTCTTGGGAAGCATGAAGGGCGTAGTCCATAACGCCAGTTGCAGCTGATATCAGTGAGGCAGCTGTGAAGTGCCTTGTCACAGCAGTCTCTAACTCCCTTGGGGACATGTTGGAGAGTAGGGATGTGTACGTCTGAATGACGGTAGGTGGAGTTTTAAGCATGCTCGAAATATAAGATGAGGGCACACGGGGAGCTGCGACAGACTGTAATATAAGAGGCGGAGGGGTCAAGGCAGACAAACAAAGAGCTGTCACAGGGGTCGATGCTCCAGTGGTTGGCGTGTTGCCGGCAGGGACTGTTGGGACTCTCAGAAGAAAGAGTCAATGTTGCAGACGTCAGGGGCCGGACGGCAGTGGAGGACTCTCTCCTGGCTATATAGCAACACAGACAGGGGATGTTGGAACAGACACCGGATGCACTTCGCCTGCCTATTAGATGTACAGCAATACTGTAAATGCACAGGAGTCACTGGGAGGAGGACGAGGAAGGATAGTTAGTTTTATGATTAGAAAGTGGAGTGCTATTTTCAAAGAGTGTTGGAAACAAGATGAAGGGGGTTAGTTGAGTAATGGGAAAGCATTGTAAATAGTGTTGTTCAAGCTGAGATTAATTTGAGAGTTGCTTCAAAGGGTGTTTGCAATGAATTATAGGTCTAAGCTTAGTCTTCTATACAGTATCTGGATAACAGTGTAGCTCTGCATTAAGATCAGGAGGTAATGTAGATGATACAATCAAATGAAAACATAATGTACTCTACAGTGCAAACTGTGCCACACATGAGCTTAACACATCATGCACCCGGGGCACTTCACAATTATAATGCTCGAATTAGACACCGGTCTTGTTTAGTTTCTGGGTGGGTAAATTTTGCAAGAAACAAATGAACGTTGGATGCTGGATGGGGAACGTTGGATGGGGCGTGGTCTTAAAGATCAGTTATGAAAATTAGCACCTATTTAACTCTTTGAGGCCCAAAGCACCTCGAGGGGTAATTTACGTCACTAAAACGCAACGGAAACGCAACGCAAAAAAGGAAAAAATAATCCGCGAAAAAAGAAAGAGACGGTGGGATTGGAACTAGGGACCTCCTGTGTTAAGTGCACTACCTTACAGTCATTCACTGCACTCTCCTGAAGTAGGCTAAAACGTTACCTATATTCCGGATTACGTAGGCAATTGCGCCCGTAATGTGGACCGCAATGAGTTAAAATATGCACGTCTTATGTTGCTCTTCTCCTTGTCTATAGATATGGAAAATCTGAAGTGGTTACTCCTTTTTGGCAGTTTATTGTACAGCATTCATACTGCCTTGAACTGTAATAGTAAGTTGTTTTAGAGGCCATTAATACTTGTTCTAAAAGAGGTATACTTAATGTTGAAGGTGGTAAACAAGTCAATAACTGACGGAATGTCACACTGCCCAACTACAGTAACTGTTAACTTCACCAAGTACCGCTTTACTAATTGGTCTTCTTGTGTTACATTATAGTAAACCTTTGTGTGTATGTACTTTTGGGTCTTACAGTTCTTTCCTTACCAAAAAATGTGCAGTATTATAATAGTTCTAAACAGTTGGGCAGTCCTCTGTGCTGCACTTCTGGATAACTTTTGAATTGTCGTCTCCTTGATAGTTTTCCACTGCATATAGCCCAATGAGTTTCCACCACCGAATATATTTTCCTTCCCCTAAACTTTATTCTCAAAATGTCAATAACTATAGCACCAAAATAAGCAGTTGATGATACAACCCCATGCACTGCATGCATGAGCTTTATGGATGAGGTTAACGTGAAAATAGCGTCAATAAAAAAGGTGGAATGCAATACAATGCTATAATCCCCCACTATAAACTACTAAATAGTAATAAGTTTATAATACGTATGAAAAATTCAAAATGAATACGGGGACCTGGTGGTGGATGCAAGAACTCAGGTCAGGATAGAATCGATGCTACACAAAGACTGCTTTCTGTCATTAGTTAAACCTAGGCCCAGGTATATACTTGGAACTTGGTTCCTCAGCCCTGAGCTACAACTCACATGTTATTTATCTGTGGTCATTGCCTAGAAAGGCAGCCCCACAGTTGCCACCATTTCATGTGCTCTCGGAACCTGATTAGGAATAATTAACGTAAGTTTATCTGTGACCTAAATATTTCGGATTAGACACATATGATGACCTACACTTCATTTCTCTGCTCACCCGGGTCTCAAATTAACACCAGGTGTTCTTTTAAAACTCATGTTTATCATAGTAGAGTGTTTCGAATATTTTGTTGATAACTGATGTTTTTTTTTATAAGAGCAATTAGGGGGTCTTCGAAAGAGTCAAGGTTTCTCTTGCCAACCATCTGATCGTCAGAATGCCTTCGTAGTGTGGAAGAGAGACAATGTGGAACTGCCCCATGGTGATAAGTATGAAATTTCTCCAACAAGACTGACTGTGAATGATATTATTCATATCGATGAGGGAAACTACTCATGCATATACATAAATACCCAAATGCAAAATTCCACACTGAACTCGGGATGTCTACTAGTGTATGGTATGTATCTGTGCAATTTCTTTTAACTTAGTCTTAGGCTCACCAACCCCCTCTTTACAGGTGCTGCATTCTTTGACTCATCACACGAGGAAATACGCGTTAACAATAATGGCACTATACGATTTAACCTCTCCCTGGCATTCACGAAGTCTGGTAATAGTGGATTAATTGAAGAAATCAGCAGCTTCGTTCTGGCAAATATGGTGCCAGTGGCTCAGTGTGATGCAAAGTTTAATATCCCTTGCACTTTCTCTGGTATTGATAGCACTGCTCAGTGGTGGACAGTGGAGAGGGAAGAGGAGTATAACGTCATATTTGTGTTACACCAAGCTAGAAGCACCAACAGAGGTTTATACTCTGCTGAGGTTGAAGGTGTTGATCCAGCAACACAAAGCTTGAGGACAATTGAAAAGAACATTTTTGTTTCAGGTAAGTATGTATTGGGGTTGGGGATTTGTACGCTTATTCTCAGCGAGCATGTAAGGTGTGTGTGGTAGGGAGCTACAGGTTGACTAGCCTATAATTGGCGAGCGGGAGCGAGCTAACCTAGTGGTCCAAACGGCGCGATTTTTCTTATTTATACGTCCGGTCGTACGTCGTGTAAGTGTGCATATGCATGGCTTCGTTACATACGCGCGTGTACTAGTCTGACAACTGGCAACGGCCCACCAATCAGTCTACAGAGGATGCCCTTCGTCGTCAAAGAGAGAGGGAAAGAGAACGTCGTGCCCGTGAGACTCCTGAGTAGAGAGAGGCTCGTCTGTATCAGCGTCGCTTGCGTGATAGGGAACGCGCTTATTTTTACACGCACCCTGTCATTATCGATGCGAAATCTAGCCAGCGAAAGAACGCTCGTCTATTCGCTGGCATTCGCTGCACTCTTCGACCGAGGCTGTATATACCTCTTTCTAATCTTCGTGGTTCTAAGGTTCATGTTGTTAATATGCTCGTGCAGATAGAATTATTGTGTGCTCGCTCCCGCTCGCCAAAAAATGCCATGCAGTTATAGAGATACTGACATTTGCAATTGAGCACAGTGAATTCACAGTTAAGTAATGTGGATCCTTTTAACATGTGCATCACATGGTCTATTGTTACATGTGTATGCGCTGGCAGGATATGGGTGCTTGCTGGCTTCATTGCCGCGGCCCAATCCACCATGTCAGCATGCCGAATTCAGGTTTGGCTCGTTACTGGCAACGCCTTGTGGGGATGAATCTCATTAGTTCAGAACCACAAGCGCTGCGCCTGAGCAAAGCCTTGTGGGGATGAATCTCATTAGTTCAAAACCACAAGTGCTGCGCTCAACTTTGCCTTTATAAACTCGTGATGCCAGAGAGAGAAGTTGCGGTATGCTTTGCTGATGAGGGCTAACAAGCCCGAAACAGCTGTCCAGAGCTCCCATCTTTTTCTCTTGGCTTCACATGGTCTATTGTTACATATGTGTGAAGTTAGCACAGACACGCAAGAAACTACTCATATAGTATTACGGTTATAGTTTTCGTTTCATATTCTTTTTCTTCTTCCCAAAACCCACTACCTCCTCTCTGGAACACGATTGTGCATGTTTTTGCACCCAAGTTAATTCAAATGTGCAACCTCATACAAATGGCAGTACTCTAAATTATTATTTTGTTCATCTATGACATGAAACCAAACTTGTCACGTGTTTTGATAGACGTCAAAAGTTGCCATAAACCTCATTAACAGCTAAACCCCCTGCGTCGAATAGCTTGGAGTACATCTGGAGCCCTGCAAGGGTTTCTGAGAGGCTGAGTAAGTAAGTTGAGTTGTCTGTAGTCAGGTAGGCACTCAATGTTTTGGGTGCCTAGTTCTAAAGCTGCTATGTATGTATTAATTAGTTTTCTTTTCCTTTTTGCAGTTGTTGCATGTAATAAATCTTCTCCTAAAATCAATGGTGTGAATGCTACATATTTGGAATCAACTGAAACTGAGATTGTAGGTTCACAAGTTAACTACTCGTGCAACAGTGGCTGCACTCTCCAAGGAAGCAAATCCTTTCGTTGTAGAGTTGAAGTGATTGGTGGTCATGGATCTAGTGAATGGGTGAATGATACAGGTGGTACTGCTCTACCAAGCTGCTCTTGTTATGGTTAGCATTTACATAATGCATGCGATCTACGTGGATTGTTAGCTTTTTTAACTGCAGGCCTGCTATTTACTGGTACAAAAATTCTCCACCCAAGAATTATAAGTAATATTACATATTCATGATTTATGCATGATTTTTCACACGTGTGAAAATCATGCATGAATGTGTAATGTTACTTATAATTCTTGGGTGGAGAATATTATGCGTATAGCTGCTTGCTAACGTATTTGATGTGGGTGCACGTTTAATTATGCACACAAACCCACATTAATGCGGATACAAATACATGATGCATGGGAGAGACTGATGCAAATGGTGTTCGAAGCTTGAGGTGCCTTTTTGTCCTAGAATGAGTGTTTTGACTAGCTGCACAAGCCTCGCTTTGCTCTTGCCAGAAGAACCCTCATGAGCATGACACAGCCTCTGTAAACCAGCTTCTTCTGTACAGAGTTTCTGCATATCGCATATCCACGCTTCTGTGACTCAGGCGATATGTGTCAGCCTCTGTGACTCAGTTTCCACCTCAAAAAGGCCGTAGCAGTACTTCAGTATGAGCGCATGCAATAGTCTCGAACGGAAGGAAGAAAATTTGCCCTGACAAACCTACCCGGTGCACAGCCTTGGATGAGGGCGCACGTTCTCCTGTATTATAAGCGTGGTGTTGCGAATAATGACACATGAAGAGTTCTGAATTACCCCATTTTATCTTATTTTTTAAAGGTGACCTTAGTGACACAAATTAGAGTGTATTACAGATTGCTCTCAGTTCAGTGTGTATTGCAAAATGGTGCATTGGTGATAGCAGGTGTGTAATTCTATGTCAAGCAGTTACTGTTTTCGTTTTATTTTAGGAACTGCTCTGGTGATGTCACAAAGTCCTACTACATTGGCAGTGTATAAAACAAAGAGTAGTCTAGGTAAAAAATTGTTCTACTGTGCAGTCCCCACTCTGGGGAGGGGGGTGTTAATATGGCCTTGGCCTAAAATTAAGGCAAGAAGTAAGACCTCAAACAATGAACTCCCCCAACCGACCTCTCTCTATTCGTACTGTGCTAATTTACTCTTCAATTATGTCTTTAGCTCCGAAGGTTGCACTTCAGTAACCCTCAGCCCGCATATGCAGTGAGGGTTACAGTACTTGTTCTTTGTGTGTGTCTGCAATTATTCTGGCACTATTTGGCCTTTAGCGGTACTAACGGCTTCAGAATAAAGGCAAAGTTCCTGAAACAACTGCGTTCAAGAGATATTGAGATAGTGAGAGAGCCTATATGCATAATCAGCTCTGGCTCACATTGACAATGTTTAGCCATTCAGCTCCCTGTTAATTGCACTCGTTTCCCTATGTATATATACTACTAGGAATGCGCACGCGCATATTTTGCCTCGCGCCTGCCAGCCAATGCGTAAACACATCCAACTGAGGCCGCTAGTGCGCGCGCTCTACTGACTGCGCGCGAAGCCAAACTTCCTACGAATCTGCGCGCACGGCGGAAGCTAGACTTCCTACGAATGACGGAAGTGACATTCCTAAGCGTGAATAATTGACATTCTTAAGTGTATATCGCGAGAATACGACCCGGAGTAGTTGCCTCACGCTAACACGCTCGGCAATCAAACGTTGCCCCAAAGTTAAAAGAACTTAAGTGCAAACCCTCCACGCAGAACCTTTGCTATGCTTGTGCAGGCACAATATTGGTTCATTGACCTCATACCTTTTCCCTAAGTTCCTGCACATGAGAATATGCAGGTAATGAACCTATTATACTGTGCAGTGCAACAACTGTCATCTCAACTACAAGCCCGGCCCCTGTATAGCTACACTGCGTTGTATAGCTGTTGAGCTGTATGGCTGTTGTAGATAGCCTCCTCGCTGGGGAAGACAGACAGCGCAAAGAACGCCAGTCGCCATTAAGTAAACTCCAGAGTAATTTCTTTGACCCTGACCCTCTTTTAGAACCTTGTCTACTATCAAAAACAAGTTTGAAATCTTGACTGCATGCTCTGACCTTGGTCATAAATGTAAGTGCTTGAGTGACCACCAATGCATACATATGCACCTGTGATCTTGCTCCCACTTGCCAAAAATGTGTTGTTTAGTCACAGATTGTTATGAACGACTATCATTTTTGCAGAGGTAATGTCTGGAAACCTAGCTGAGACACCAACAGGTATGGACTAAGGCTAAATGATTTTTGACCGTTGCATTTTTGGCACGGACATTTGGAACATGCTACACAATTCAAATTTCTATGCATTTTCAACATTACAGTGCAGTCTTTCATTTGTGAACCGTTTATGCATAGCTGCGCTGTGCATTGCTGACTACATGAACATAACATCTGCATTGCTTGTTTTAGCGTGAAACAACAAAAACCCGCGTCACGTGCATACAAGGCTCCAGTAAAAACGGCTGTCTGTTTGGTACACACCTGTGTCCACGTGCTACAAAATTAATTAGATCTACGTGAGACATGGCGACTCAGGAACTCATCCATTGCTGGTAAACATCACCATCTTCAAAACCCTTGCGTATTACAAACCAAAACTTCTGTATCCCAAAAAGCTACACATATTGCTGAGTATCTGAAACCTTTTCAGATAGTGTCTCATTGCAAACTGTGAGTCATTGCTACTACCTATGCGTGACTTCCACTACATGCTATGCACAGCATGCCATTGTTTTGCCTTGAAGCTTATTGTTGTCACATGCACAATTCCCTTATGACGTACATTTACGTGCACTAAAAGCTCTATGACTTTTCCCCCCGCGAGTAAGACTCTGGCGGACTAGGCTCAGGGGCTGTCACAGTGTGCACGATTATTATGTGTAAGTATCTCTCATCTTCCTTTCCTTTAGTGTTCACCATAATTATGCTCTATACAACAGTGCCACATGCATTTTAATTGCAAAGTAAAGCCTTTATTGGCGAGCGGGAGCGAGCTAACCTAGTGGTACGAACGGCGCGGAATTTCTATTCTTTATTTTTATTTATCTACGACCGTACGTTGTCCAACTGCGCATGCTCCAGGATTACGCGCTTCTTTTTATCCGAAAGGATTTCAAAATTTCACATGCTGCCTGCCTGTCGTGTGTATACATGTGTTATAGTCCGGGGAAGATGCCCTTCGTCGTCGAAGAGAGAAGTAAAGAGAACATCGTGCCCGTGAGACTCCTGAGCAAAGAGGCTCGTTCGTATCAGCGTCGCTTTCGTGATAGGGAATGCGCAAATTTTTACACGCTGCCCCGTAGTGTGTTTTGAAGGCCTAGGGAGTCATTCTCACCAAGTTTTTAGTCGTTTTGTACGCTGAGATTTCACCCGCACCATCCCTATAGAGAGGCTCGTCTGTATCAGCGTCGCTTGCGTGATAGGGAACATGCTTATTTTACGCTGCCTAGCTGTCATATCGATGCGAAATATAGCCAGCCAAAGAACTCTCGTCTATTTGCTGCCATTCGCTGCGCTCTTCGATACCTGACCGAGGCTGTCTATACCTCCTTCCAATCTTCGTGATTCTAAGGTTCAAGTTGTAGGATGGCTCGTGCAGATAGAGTCATTGTGTGCTCCCACTCGCCAAAAATGCCATTCATTCGCCTACTAGTACCTTGTAATTGTTGGCAACTTTATTACTTTATCAACAGATGAGGTGGTTCCCAGAGGCAAGATGGGGCGGCATTCAGCAGGTTTGTGATTTAAAATGTTGCTCACCTTATGAGGCAGGGAACTGGTATAATATACCCCCGCGCTCTGTGAGGGGAGGGGGTATATACCATATCATAATAAAAATGAAAAGTACAAACCCTCGGTGAACTGGTACCGCTAATGGACGGACTGGGCTATTAGCCATGACATTGTGTTTACTCGTCGGCTCCCGCTAGTAGCTCACAGAGAGTCTGGCGAAAGTAGTAGCTAGAAGCTTGCAGGTGTCAATACACGCCCTCCGTTGTAACTTCTTGTTCTTTCAAAACACACAGAGCGAGCAGAACAGGTCGAGGAAAGCCTGTTCTAATTTGCATAATTGGTTTTGCACTTGGTTTTCACACCATAACTCTCGAATGCAGTACTTTTACGAAAATCGCCAAATTTAAAATCAAGCCAGTGTAGCACTGAACCATTTGGTATCAATCTTTTGTTGTCTAGTTGCACGTGGTGGCAGACAATGTGGTAACAGACAGACAGACAGATGCACTAACGGACCAAGTACAATAACCCTCGTTGCACATGCGCGCCGAGGGTTAACAAGCTTGATGTTACCAGCCCGTGTTAGAGCAAGAAACTGACGTATTCAACTACCATGTGTGATGGCGCAGCCCATCAATTAGCTGCACTTTCTGTGCATATGCATAGTGTACCTTGCTGCTGAACAGAGCGAGCGCTGCACAGAGGTTATCAGTATCTTCTGAATAGTGTTGGTTACATTGTAGTATTTCTTGTATGCGCGTAAAATTCTTGGCATGTACAGCCTCAAACTCAACACACATTTATTCATTTTTCTGTGAAATTGGTACACACTAGTGGCGTAAATCGAAGAATACAGAGAAGTGCACTCCAGAAGGCATAGAAAGTATTACCACAAATGGGTGTATAAGCGAACAATACGTTCGAAGTGTTGTTGGTAGCACTGATTTTAGTAGCATTCTCATTATTTCATTTACAGGGCTTAATGCTGGCACTATAGCTGGAGTATCAGTTGTTGTTGGAGTCTTTATTCCAGCCACTATTTCTTTGTCTCTTCTTGCGTTCATCAAATTTCGAAGGGGAATGGAGACTAAAGACAAGCATGCAGAGTTGGGCAAAGATAAAAAAGATGTTTCGATGATCCAGAACATCAAAAGTTATACATCAAGACACAGCAATACCTCTGAATCATCTAGTATTGATTGCAATCATCGAGACAGCTTTATTGAGACTATTGGTAACGAGAGCTTTGCTGAACACCCCAAAAACTCTCGTGCAACTAATATATAGTTTTTATTTTTGCAAAAATCACCAGTAATAAATAAAAAAAATGAATGAGCTACTGGTACCATCATTAGTGAGCGTGGTAGGCCTAAAATAAAATTAAACAATTCATGCTGTTTCACCCTGTTGCTAGATTAGAAACTGCATGTATTGATCTTGACCACACCAGCTATAGTTCGCGCAAAGGCCTGAAGAACCATTGGTATAAGTTTGTGGTTATTCTTTGTAACCTCCACTTGGACAGATGAAGAGAGACTCTAATAGTTGGGCAAGGATGGGAAAGAAGGTGAATTCAATGCTGAAGTGGTGCGCTGAGGGCTGAGACCAAGAGGGTCTCTGTTGGACACGGGCAATACAGACACCATTGGCAAGCTTTTAATTGGGTCTAACAATGCCTTTCACTCAATTACCAGTCAGAAGTTAGCTCTTGCCCCAGAAGAAAAGTAGTGTTCTTGTTTGTAAACAGGGACTTCCAGGGTTGCGGTTAATGCGAATGCCTCGAAAATAATATTGTGTGTAGTGCGCACCAAGATGAACTGTAAAGGTACAGACCAACCCATTATCCGCATCGTCCCCTCGCCACATCCACTCTTCCCCATCGTTTATGCCACTACTTGCATTTTACATCCCATGTGCCACATAATTATTAATTTAGTGTATGCATGTACCCAGACCCCCTCTGCAGTTTGCACACCCTCCGTGATCCCGAAATGTATGTCACCCCTGGCAACCGCTCAAGTCAATGGAGCAACAAAACAGCACATTGCAAAAAGAAGACACGTCCCTAGAAAACCTGGGGAAGAGAAGCGAAACCATACCTTAGAGTTGGTCAGGACCACCTGATCAAACCTATCCCAATATGTGTAAGGCTGCCAGGTTACCTGAGCACCAACTCTCTACGAGCTATATACTGGTGCCAGGTTCACATCTCCGAGTTACTCTCAGGGGATAATAAATTTACGACAATTATGTGACCTGCTATGGCCATTCTTTGTCGGCTGGGCCGGGGTCGGGTATATATAACAGGCGCAAGGACGTACACGAGGCGCATGCGCGATGTTGCGCAGCACGTCTCTTCTGCTGCTGAAGGATGAGCATACGTTGGGGTATCTGTGGCGCTGGGAAAATATCGCATGACTTTGTTGTTGGACTTAAAACAAGGCCTACAGCGGAGCACAGCGTGGTTGCCGTCAGTGCCCGTTCGGTTGAATCAGCGGCTGAGTTTGCTGCTCTTCACCACGTTGAAAGGCATTATGGTTCTTACGAAGAATTGGCTGTGGACCAGGAGGTTGGTAGATTAGGGTCCATATTATTTTGGGCCATGCGCATAAGTCTTTCTGTGGTATGAATCGTTACGTGTATGTGTGGAGCTGGAGCGCCTATGGATAATGCTTTTTGCAGGTGGATGTGGTGTATGTTGGAACAATCCATCCTACACACTACAGTTGTGCAAAGCTGATGCTCCAGAATGGTAAATCTGTGGTGTGCGAGAAGCCCTTGACAATGAATGTAAAGGACACACTCTCGCTGGAGGAGATATCAAGGGACCGTGGAATGTTTTTGATGGAGGTATGAGGGGTAATCATTAAAAATGGTGGAACGGATCGTTGTTATTTTTCTCCTAATCCTAGCTAGGGCTAGGATAGGTCAGCTTGGTCTAGGATTGCCAGGTTCGACAGCCGCCCATGGTAGCCTCCGTATGTGGTGCATGTTTTGCTGAACACCAGTAACACCTTTGTGCCATTTATTAGAGTATAAGCAAGTTGTACACTAAAACCATTTACAAATTTTTCTAGCCTGTGGCTGTTTACAAACTTACATTACTTTTTACTTAAGTCTATTCCACCCCACCTTTTCTTATGGACATACAGCTAACTTTTGACTGGTAAGGATTCAGGCTTAGTAACATATGGTTAGACTCAGAAAAGCGCAAGGATTCCATTCCTGCATGAATTGGATGAAAAATAAGCAAGTTATGGCGAGTTTTCGAGGGTCCAGGTGAGGTCAAATTGGTTGGATAATGTTATATCAACACACTATATCACTCTGTCTCAACACACTAATTAAATCCACATAATGCCTATTGTAGTGCTGCATGTGACCCCGGCAAATCGCAAATGCTCGCCCTGATGACAAGTGGCATTTGTTTCCACTCGCTGCTCAGGAGAGACGACGATGGTGCACTCATCCAGGCTTGCACAGCTCTTTGATATGCTTTTAAAAAGTTGCATCAAGTCGCAAAAAGAGTGCATTATTGTTAATGCACACTTCAGTGCATTAAGTTACAGTTATAACACACTTAGCTAACTTTGCGTGTTTCAATGTGGTGCACTCAGTTGCCTAATGCACGAGCCGCAATCATCCTTGTGCACTCGCATTAAAACATGCAAAGTTAGCTAAGTGTGTTTTATTTCTGGTCACATGACTTTTTCGTGGACCAGGAGAGCCCCTCCTGCCCCTGCGTCCTGCCAGTTCGACCTCGAGTAGAGAGACAGCCTTGCGTGTGCCTGTAAACTGCTGTAGTAACACCTGTGTCAGGAATGAGTACGTTAGTTTGCGCTAATTGTGTGTTGTGGAACAGAGACAGTTTGCCAGTTGTGTTGTAGCCAATCCCTACCCGCTGTCTTTGTCGCTAGAGATACCTGCAACATGAGTGTCGGAATATTGGTGGACGGGTTGAATGGCCCATATCTGTGGAGTCCTGCAGCTCAGTCTCCCCGTCCCCTTCCGCGGGCGTTAGCACGGCTGATGCCAGGACATCCAGACTGGCTGGCGTCCTGTATGCCCACTGCGAAATTAAGTATACCAGCAGGAGATCATCATGCCCACTGCACTGTGAAGCGGGCTCGTGCCCAATACGTTCAGGGGTGTAACCAGTCTCGGCGCCCTATGTGTGTGCATACCGGGTTGCACATGTGTGCATACATGCACAATGATAGAGACACCGGTCGATGTACTTGGTCCAGAGGAAGCATTCCAACGCTATATAAGTACGGATCGGTAAGAAAGGCTGTGCTTCTGCACACTCTAGATCCACACAGCAAATATTCTAAGAAATATTATGTGATCATGAAAATTGTGACTAACACTTTTTACAGGGAATGTGGACAAGGTTTTTTCCAGCAGTTTCTGAGATGAGAAAGAGGATTAATGATGGGCATTTAGGTGAAATAAAGTCTGTCCAAGCTAATTTTGGGTTTAGAAGGAAAGACATGTCTGGTAATTCACGACTTGACAACCCAAAGCTGGGAGGTGGGGCTGTTTTAGATGTTGGAGTCTATCCTATCAGTCTTGCTACTATGGTGTTTGGAGAGCGGCCAAACACTGTTTATGCCACAGGATGGCTCACATCTACAGGTTATATTTTTTTGGAATATGCACCGTGTTTGTGGATGATGTGCAATTTACGTATGTTCCATTTTTACTGCCTGCCTAGCTGAGGGACATGAAAATGATATATGTTATGTATGTAACTGTTCATCAGAAATGTTCTTATGGTAAACAATTGTTACGAAAGAAGCTGCTTTTGTCCGGAGTCTAACTTGAGGCATCGTGACTGGAACTCCAGTTCACTATTGTTCGTACTTATGACTATGCAGACAGGAGCTGGTGTTCCCCATTCCCTTGAAATACTGCTGCCAGTGGTTGTTACCTATCTGGCACTATGTCGCTAGGAATCACATCAAGAACTGTCTAATAACCAAGACTAAATCTTCTGCTTTTCTTTAACGAATGCAAGCCATTTTTGCAAAAATCTAGGTGCACAGCAACGATTACAAAATTTAATTGCATACCTGCAGCAGTTTATTTAGAGTCACATAATTATATAGGACAGTGCAGTAAATTAAAGGTAGAAAGTGCATAATGTAGAAAATTCACATTCATGTTGTAATTTTACCATGCAAGTCTGCAATTGATAGGCCTAAACTATTATCTAGCAGTATGGAGATAATTAAAGTGAGCTGACAATGCATAGTGTAGTGTCTGGTAGTCGGTATTATGGTTAGAAGGAGAATAAAGTACATATCTCTCCACAACCAGACTCTCTTGATTAAACACACCTGCGAGGTGGTTGCAGGGCCTTCTGTGCAAATCATTTAAATTTGAATGTCAGAGCCATGAACACCTGAATGAAATAAAATTGTGGTTTCCCCTGCTTCCTACACAGATATGTAGAATAGCCTGTTTTATCCTGCAAGTTAACCTCTAGTGCTAGGGTTCATTGTGCCATGTACATGATGATTGCACTTAGGGTCACTGTTAATCAGGAGTTGGAGTGCTGTATAACTAGGCAAATATAAGACAAGCCGTTTGGGCATGTGCTTTCGTCCAAATTCAATACTTTTATACACCCACTAATGTATTCCAAGTGAATTGAACCCACCTAGTCACCTAAAGTATGCATTTTCATCAAACTTTAATGTTCATTCAGGTGTAGATGAATTTGCCAGTATCACTTTGAAGTACAGTGGGGAACGCGTTGCACAACTTTCGTGTAGTATTGGAGTTGATCTCACTAATGATGCTGTGGTGTACGGCACAAAAGGAAAATTGAAGTTGCAAAGTCCATTCTGGTGCCCAACAAAATTGGAGACAGCTGAAGTAAGTGTTACTTGTGCCGTTTAGTACTCTTTCTTGTTCACTTCCGAAACCTATACTTCCTGTAGCTCTCTCGTGTACCTCCTACAGTTAGCTATAAATATACGAAGACAATAGCTGGGAGAATATTCAGTGGAAGAATTAAACATTGATAGGGGAACTAAGGATATGTGTTGTGACTGTAGTAAAAGAGCCTGCAGGACATGTCATTACCGGAGACTTGGAGATGCTAAACTTAGAAGCCTGATAGAGAAGGGACCATTGTTTAGGGAACAGAACTGCATAACTGGAGTATTAACGAGAGCTTGTGTAAGGAGGAAGTAGGTAAGTATAAAAGTAATGCCATTTGTCTCAAACCATCTTCACCAGACTACCCCTTTTCAGCACCCATTTAGCTAATTCGTTGGATGAAATCAGCTAAATCGTCGGGTAGATTATACATATCACCGAGTAGTTATAGCCAAATCATTGCGAGATCGCCATGTAGCTAGCTGACTTACCTGGCAATTTAGCGTATATCTTTCGGACGACTTAGCTATATCTGTTAGGCTATAAGGCCTAGATCGGATAATTTAGCTATATCCATGCAGCTATAATTATGTATCCAACGATTTAGTAAAAGGTGCTGAAAGGGGTAGCTGCTATATGGTTTACAAACGTGAATTTTGAGACAAATGGTGCCCCATAGCAAGATGCCACATGACGTGGTTGTTAGGACGGGCAAGTCGTGAGTGTCTCTCTTCTGACAGTTTTGATCTCTGTTCTCTTTGTTCCCAATGGTATGTCCGCAATGTAGCACAACAATTCACGTCAGACAAGCAGTTTGTGGATGCGGCCAATCCAAATGTAAAGCAGTCTGGCAATATGTCGCAAGCAATGAAACACAGACGAGCGGATGAAGCGAATGTGAGAGCCTCTAAACACGTGAGCAATTGCTCTAACCGTACCCACTGATGCAACTAGCCTGTGTTAGGGTGACAAACTGACTCCGTCAAAGACACATCGCCCAGCCCATCTCGCTTACATCATCGCTACAATGCGCGTGTTTTGCTCTGAGGGTTTGCACTTTAAGTGCCTTTGATTATATTCGTGAGAGTGTCCTTCCACCCACCCACTCGTTCGTTTTTCTGTCTGTTACCACATTTTCTCAAACAACGTGCAACAAGCCAACCGAAGAGTGACTGGCTTTCTTTATAGAAAGGTGGTTTTAGTTAAGATGCTGTGTCCACCAGAAAACCAAGTGGAAAAGCCTGTGTTGTAGTTAGGTCATAGATCAGTTCCTCCACTTTATTTTATATGACTATGAAGGCCTAACTTTGGAGCACATATTTGTGAACTTTCGAGGCAGCATAGAGCAAGTATTTTGTTTGGTTGACTTGTTTGCTTCGCCTCTCTACCTCATTGACACATGCTATACTTAGTTTGGAGTTAGGCGTCTTTGTACCCCTGTCTGATCCTACTTAAATGGAGTGTGAGAGAATACAGTATAATTATACCATAGCACAGTTGTTTGAAGTTTTCCTTTGTTTGGGGTTGTATTGTGTTGAAGATTTGCAATTTTTTTAACCATGAACAAAGCTTTTTTTTGATAGCTTAATATTCACATGTAAATGTTTTCAGGGTGTACTGGATTACCCACTACCTGATGTTGAACTACCGCTTAACTTTTTAAACAGCGAGGGTTTTGGATATGAAGTAGAACATGTACGGAGGTGTTTGCAAGCTGGGATGACAGAGAGTGATGTAATGCCACTGGAACACACAGTAATTGTTGCTGAAATAATGGAATCGGTCATGAAACAATTGGGAACTATGCAGTCAGTGAAATAGTTTGATAACGATGTGTCAGATATAATAATTTTCCAGCAGTGATTACTGTGTGGGTAACTTTGCACATGAAATTATTGTTTGACTCCACGAGTTGTATGAGTTGTATGCACAGTAATTTTGATATTCCTGCATAATGTGAGATTTACATAAAAATTGCCTTGCATCTGGGTAGACCAAATGATCTCGTTAACCATACCCACAATATTTATGTGCCTGCAGCAGGTTGTCTTGGCTATATACCTAACGATAATCAGTCAGTCCTTCTGCTGTGTTAAACCTTAGCTACAACCCAATCCGGAAATTTGTGCTTGGCTATTATAAATATTTGTTAATTCCTCCAGTTGGTATACAATATTTTTAAACCTTTTTTCTGACTTATGTAGGTACCTTTGATTGTGCATGAATGTTGATGTTTCACTGTTGTCTCAGTGTCTGCAGGTTAATTCTAAAGTCATCAAACCAACGTTTTGCATCCGAACTCGTTCAAGTGATAGCTCCACCCACGTTTGCGTGTGTTGTGCCCATACACCTGCTGTTTACTGACTAGGCACCCTGCATGCGACTAAGCGGTGACTAGGCGCCTTGCCTGCGCCTGCGTGCGTCTAAGCTTTTGGGCATTGCCACTCTGAGTTCGCATTCGAGCGTCGCAGCAGTTCTGCAGGCCGAGATCTTTTTTGCACAGTATAGCAGTGTGTGTGATGCACAGGCAGCACAGGAGAGTATGTTTGATGACTATGTATGCGTGCGTCTGTCCACGAGTGTTTGCATCCACGTTTGCGTGTATATGGAAAATATGAACACATTCAGACGAAATGAATGCAAACGCACTTTGTGTTTGAAGACTCACAGGATGTACTATAATGGCGAAGAACGGTTCACGCTCACAGTGAGGTCACAAATTGGCCAATTGAGAATGCATAGAGTATTGTGATCCATTATCATAAGCTAACATCCATGCAATATCTAATATCCAATTGAGTGCAATAGTGTTTTGGCAATCAAAGATATCTACAAAGCACTCATTTCTAAAATTACTTCAAGACTGTCCGGGAACATCTGTCCACACAGTGATCATGAACTTTGAGGGATCACTGACCCAACTTTTAATCACTATCATGTGTCATGTCCATCAGTCACCCCTTGCATAGCTATTTACTAAGTGCATCGGCAGTGTTGCTGCAGATCTTCATCATAGTGCAAGAATGGCCTGGTCTGAACCACTAGCTGCTCACGGCATCATTTATGCATTGGCAATTTAAAAAATGAAAAGCACTGAAGTGCAAACCCTCCGCGCACTGTGACGCGCACGCGTAAGTAAACGCATGCGCCGTACCACTAATCGATGGGCTGGGTTTAGTTTTAGCTGTTACTCGTGGTCTCTTGCCAGCTCGCGCAGAGTCTAACGCGGGCTAACTACACTACTAGATAGCATGCGAGAGGCGATACATGCCCTGCGTTGCATCTTCTGGTGCCTCCAAAGTACGCAGTGCACGTGGGTCAATCCGACTGTGGTAAGCCGTTGTGTATTTGCATATTGCCTTTTTCGCGCTCTAGCTTTGCAACGGAGCAGTTTCAGAGAAAACCGCTCATTCGTTTGTGAGACGAACAAACACCCGAGAAGTGAGATTGAGAGTAACAGACACACACAGACAGACAGACCCAATCAAAAGCACCAAAGTGCAAACCCTCGGCGAACTGGGGATGCGGGGTACCGCTAATTGATGGGCTGGGCTGCTATTAGTATGCGTTTACTCGTGGTCTCCCGCTAGTAGCTCGCAGAGAGTCTGACACGGGCTAGCTACAGTAGTAGATAGCATGCGGGAGTCGATACACGCCCTTCGTTGTGACTTCTCGTGCCTTCAAGATACACAGAGCAAGCCGACCCGAGCCTGTTGAAAATATAAGCGCATGCGCATTTTCCGCAGCGATAAAAATGGCCGACTAGCATTAGCCGTACAATGGCGGAAGCGCTCTAGCATTTTCAGAGAAAACCGTTTAAAAATTCTGACCTTCATTGCCCGTTAAGTAGGTCGTATCCTTTGTGAGACGAACAAACACTCGAGAAGTGAGATTGAGAGTAACAGACACACGGACGGACGGACGGACAGACCCAACTACAGTACCCTCGCTGCGCATGCGCGCCGAGGGTAACTACCGTACCCTCGCTGCGCATGCGCGCCAAGGGTAATAACAGGGTGAGTTAACTGTGTAGCTACATACATTGAGTCCTAGCTACACCTTTGTATGATCTTATGGTCCAACTACATCCTTGATTGTACCATTGCAGTAGCATTGCGAAGACTCTGGCATAGGATTGGGACTACACTCTCTCTCATTCCACTCAGATATATGAAGATGGCAGTTTTTATTGATGTTGAGCACCCTATTTTCCGTCAGGATGACGGTTGGTTGCTTTAAGTACCATTGCTCCATGTATGTTAGAATTTGTTGTGCTGTATAATTTTCAGTTCCTTGGATGAAGCCCCTGACACTGACATAGTTTGGATGTTGAAAGCAATAGAGGCGAGTATTCATTATCCTTGAAGGAGTGTAACTACAGTTGCAGTCATTTGAAATTCCTTCAGATATTTGACGTTTTACTGTTGCCAGAAATTTTGCGCACTTTGAATCCTGTAAAGAGAACAGAATTCAATGGCAAAAATTAGTGGTTTTTTTTCCACTTACACTCCAACAAGTACAGTCAGTGATTGGTCCAAGTTGTAGCTGAAACATTACTGGAGGAGGCAACTTTAAAGAAAGCACACTTAAACGAGGTTTTAATCATACCTTCGGTTTCTTGTATACAAGAAGGAATTTCACCATCCCATAGTGTATCATGACCTCTTTGAATGCATTTCAGACTATCATTACCAGTAATTTTGTACCCCACTTTGCAGGTATATTCAGCTATAGAGCTTACAATCACACCATTGTTTGCAACATATCCGTTTAGTAGTTCAGGAGGAGAGTTACATTCCTGTGCTGTAAAATATATTAATGACACAATGTTGCCATACATCAAATACTCATGGAATTATATATTCACCTGTAGCAAAAGTGTTTTTTGTGATAGTGCCTATGTATCCTGTGGCAGGGTCTATCAGCTCAGCTGAAATAACGTATTCCCCTCTATCATTGGCTACGACATTGTGCAGCTCTGCAATTCTATAGGTTGGTGTGTTCCCTTTGAAAGTCCAGTGGCGACTGGCAGTGTCTGTAACTGGTTCATAAATACTGAGCACTACTTCATTCTCTTTGAGAATCGTTATGCGATCGACCATTTGTAGCAATCCTGTCTCTCCAGCAACCGAAAAAGTCATGCTTAAGTCAAAACTGAGTATTCCATTGTTTGACACTGCAATACTATCTGTGCATCTGTTTGACCCATAGCTCGTTGGTGAGCAACTTGCAAAGGAAGCCTTTCCTGTGAAAAAAGAAATACAGCATAATTGCGTAGGTTTAAATTTTTTCACCTACTAGTAGCAGGATGACCGTTCATAACGTGACAACCTAACCTCAGTGTGATCTACGCGTGAGGAGCCCCTGAAGGTGGGGTGAAAGGGTGTGTACCTTCGGCAAATGCAGGGTATTTGAGCGAGTAGTAAAAGTTTGTTTAACAACAGTACCTGAAATGTTTTGTCTTCATACTATCTGCAATAAAACCAGGTTAACCCTGGAGGGTGAAAAGTAATGTGGTGAGAAGTAGTGGCAAACTTTGCTTGAAGTGCTGCATACCTAGTCTCCTAAGCCAGGTGTGAGCTACAGTTTGAGCAAGCCAACTCTGTCACACAGAGAAAATGCTGTAGTGCAAAATTATTTTTTCTGCCTCTCTGGCTTAGAATTAGCACTGAGACGGACAGAAGTTTGAAAGTACTATGCAGATAATCTGCCCTTGCAATAATACACACAAGCACAGTTACAGGTGGAAAATAAACCGATGGCTAAGCTAGGCATTCTTGCCGAGTTTAATTAAAGCCGTATTGTTGTGAGAACAGATCACTTACAGGAAGGTTGATACGACAAGGACCTTTGTACAGAAGTTCTGGTACAAGTATGGTGTAAGACACCACTATACACAACAGGGCATAATCGTCTCTTATGGTGTACTATGCACTAAGTAACCAACAACATATTAATTTGTGGCTCAAAACTTAGTCAAAATTTTCCAGTGTGTTATTTTTGGTGAATATGAGGCGCTTTGGGTTTATTTTTTGACAGCAGTCAATCAAAATCCGCTATGCCACACCTTATATTGTTTGCAAACCATGTTCAGGAATTTTCTGATATCTTGCTAGAAACATTCAAATGTGAAAACATGACCACCACCTTCCATTTTATCAAACACGGGTTGTCCATCCATACATTTGTGATTTTCATGTTTCACTTTCAGTTACAACAAACAGCCTGAGGTAATAAAAATGGTGTTTGTGCCTCTAACTTGCTTATGGTTGGTCCTCTAACAATGAAACTTGGTACATTGATGTACCATGATGAGAGGTATATCGAAACAGAACTTACAAGTTTGTAAACAACAACGAACAGTCCCAAGCAATAATAACTTGTAAATGGTGTTTGTGCCTATAAATTACTTGTGGTTGGTCCTCTAACAATGACCCTTGGTACACTGATTCACCATGATAAAGAGTTCATCGAAACAGAAATTACAAGGTTGTAAACAAACAGCCTCAGGCAAAAAAGACTTTTAAATGGTGTCAGTGCCTATAACTTGCTTATGATGGGTCCTCTCACAATGAAACTTTGTGCACTGATGTAATGTGAATGACAAAACGTCTGAGGCGATAGCTTAAGGCCACTAATGTTACTTTTTTATGGGCTTATGCCCAACTTTTTATTGCACACCATGCAGTAAGAAAGGGGAAGGAGACAAGTAAATCCTTTGAATTAAAAAAAGTGTGGAATATAGGGATGCCATAAAAAGCAAGGAGACAAGACAGGGATGACCTAGTGCATGTGATGCATTAGTACAATAGGATGATGGTTACATCTTAAAACTGACCTTTTTTACTCATGTAAATTTTACTCCACACACGCCCTATATTGTCGCAAAGCACGAGTGATCTCTATCGTATGATGTGCCACTATGACTCATTTCCTATGCACGTATGACTGGTAGCTAGCAAATGCCCTCTCTGACAGGTCCTCAGTTTTGAATCGTGACTGTATTTACTTCAATGTTCGCTCAACTAACCAGTTTTACAGTCCTGCTTTCTCTACAGAATTCGTTTGCCAGTCTTCACACTACATTATTCAAAACTCATGTCGTGAGTAAAAGTGGCGACAATATAGGGCTTGTGTGGAGTAAAATTTACACGAGCAAGAAATGTCCGTTTGAAGATGTAACCATCATCCCATTGTACTAATGCACTAGGTCATCCCTGTCCTGCCTCCTTGCTTTTTATGGCACCACACTTCTTTAATTGGAAGATATTTTTAAATTTACTTGTATAAGTATAATACACACGTATGGATAGAAGGATAATGTTAGTAAACTCTTCACTGGCACTTAACCTCGGCGCGCATGCGCAGCGAGGGTTTACTGGAGTTAGTTGTCGTGAGTCTGTCAGTTCTAGCTGTTTCTGTTTCGACATCTCACTTCACGAGCCACGAATTGCTCCATAAACGATACCACGTATTCAGTGTCGGGTATATAGGTCGAAAGATGTGGGGTTTTCTCTGAAACGCCATTATGCAGGTTTACTTACCTCTGGCGGGTCCGCTTGCTCTAAGGCACAAGAAGTGGATAACGAAGGGCGTGTATCGACTCCCGCAAGCTATCTACTGCTGTAGCATCCCGTATCAGACTCTCCGCGAGTTACTACTAGCAGAAGCGCGATTGCAAAAGCCCCACAATTAGCTGTATCGCGCATGCGCAGTTCGCCGAGGGTTTGCAGTTTTTTTTATGCATAACTAACTGAAACCTTTTTCATGCATAATCAAATCTCGCATAGTAATAACGGTAGAAAGGGTATAGGTTTCTAACTGATGGAGATGCAAATGTTATCATTTCACTCAACTCCACTATCTTATTGGTGACCTCGTATATATTAGCTGAATTTGTCTTTTTAGCTAGCTAATTATGTGTTTACCATAGACTAGGAGACAGCCAGCTGTAGACGTTCTCACCACTGACTCAGCATTGTACGAGCAAGTATAGTTTCCTTCATCATTTGCGACTATACTCAGAACTGTCAATCTGTGTTGGGTACGACTTAGCACGTACTTCTCTCCACTTGTATCTAGACGTACACCATCTCTGAACCAATCAACATGAAGTGATGTTCGTCCTGTAGTTGAGCATGTAAACTGGACTTGTTTGTTGTCACTTCCAAGTTTTTCTGCCATGACATAATGACCAATAGCGTTGAAGAACCACGACTACGAAACACTTACTGTAACAGTTTTGGAGGCTGGCTGCGAGCCCTAAGAAACTAATGAAGACAACTGCACTTTTTGTAGACATTTTTTCAGAATCCACCGCGTATACAATCTGGTGCAGTGCGGAGCCCTCCGCTTTTATGCGCTACCGCGCGGCGAGTCGTCGTCATTGTTTCCGGCCGCTCGTGCCACTGCCCGGTGGCGGAGGTATAATTATACTGCCTGTGTTTCGCTGTGTAGGCGACGGCGTATTATACAGAGGCAGCGAGACACGGTCGGACAAATTGTACTGACCTCTTCTATGCTCTAGACGGAGTTTGGCTCAATAACTCCAAACCTACCGTACACAGAACGAGTGGTGGTTGCCCCCCCCCTCCTATCCCGCCCCCCTGCACTTTGTGCCTTCAGGACCCCTTGGTACTATCCCGACGGCCGCCCTCGAGTTTCCTAGGCAACAGCATGCAACAAACATCGATCTCGCTCACACCATCCAGCGGATGATCTCCTCTTGATGGCTACCAAAGTGCTGCCTGCAGAATTTGAGGGAAGGGGCAAGATAAACGTGAACGTAGACGGCATTGAGATATCGTCATGTTTCGATTCCGGTAAATTTACGCGCATGGAAAATATGATAGCTAGAGCTAACTCCATTGCTAGGTAATGTAGTTTGAGAGGACAGCATTTCTATAACAGTTAAGTTTACATTACTTCGTTTCATCTTGCTACCTACATACGAAAACTTGAGTCTAAAACTGATTCTTTCAGCTATGTCTTGTATGTACATAATAGGAAATCTGGATCGTGTTGAGCCTGGTCAAGCTCAGTTTGAGTACAATCTGTGGACAGCACCAGACTGTGTTGGAACATCTCATGAGAATGGAAACAGAACATGGTTTCATTTCAATGTGAAGTTCCCACAGGGCAACATCAACAAGAGGATGAGGTCAGAAAATCTTCTAGGAGGGGAACAAAATTTCACAGACGGCTTGTCAAAATTGTTCCTGGTCCACAAAAGTTGCAAAAGGAATATTGCTGTTTCTTAGTTTGAAAGCTACTTGTGACCTGTTATGCAAAATAATATTTAGCATAGAAATGGCCTTTATACTGAAGCATAATATTTGTGCCATGCCTTATAAAACTTGCAAAACGTGACCTGTTACAGTATGTGAAATGTTAATACGGATGCCATAGTAAAACGGCTTCACATTCCACCAGATTTGTGCCATGACTTATAATTTTGCAGGAAACTTAGTCTTCTCTTTCGTGACCATAGTTATTGCACTACTTTCCCTGTATGTATATACAGGTTTCACATACGCAATATGAATAAGCAGTCAAAGCTTTATCAGCAGAGAATGGTACCAATGTTTAGAGCAGTTCCTGGAAAAGCGAACTGGGAAAGGCTAAGGGAGATTGTTAACTGGGAGGTATGACAGTATGCAGTATATAGAACATTTGTATTTAGCTGTATGTGCTTGCTTTATTTAGGTTGGTGAAGAAGGGCTAATACTGACCTTTGAGTACACTGTACCCACCAGCCATTCTCATAAAGTGTACTTTGCGTTTTGCTACCCATTTTCATATTCAGACTGTCAAAAGAAACTCTGTGATTTGGATCAAAAGTATGGCTTAGGGAAGCGAACTCTTTACTATCACAGGTATATACCCCCTTCCCACATACTACATATACACTCTGATATGCATACCAGTATACCCAGTTGCAGGAGAGCATGCTAAACCTACTAGACTTTTGACTAAAACATACTGTTAACTGTGCTCACACTTGCCAATCAGAAGAATCAATTTAATCACTGTACAGGGAACTGCTATGCTATAGTCTTGACGGCCGAAGAATTGATCTACTAACCATCTCTTCACTGAAGGGCATAAAAGAGAGCAGAGAGCCAAGACTAGAGGGTCTTTTCCCAGACATGGACACACCTAGAACCCACAGCTTCAGAGGGAAAAAGGCTGGTTTTTTCATGGACATGTAGAAAACATTTTGGCGCCTGAGTTGTCTACAGTTCAAATCTTGCTGACATCATGTATGCTACTGCCAGACTGGTGTTGGTGTAGAATAGCAACGTGACTGAGAAAATCCACTTGTTGCTGCTGTGTAGGTGTGCCTTCTGATCCCCGACATCTCCCCCCTCAAGTGAAGGGGAGCTTAGGATTCTTTACTACTACATTAAAGAGTCCTGCATAATTTTAAGGTCTGCTCAACGTTGATGTCCAAGTCACATGCAAAATATCCGAGGTTCTACACTATTATAAGAGCTTCTTAGATCAACGACAGGTAGCATAAGGTGTGGAAGCTGTGCATATTGCTAACCTTCACGTGCATTTTTTATCTTCCTCAGGTATTCCTGGTAAGCAGCAGGGTACACCCAGGGGAAACTCCTGCTAGTCATGTATTTAATGGCCTATTGGATTTCCTCCTGTCAGAAGAGGATAAGAGGTACATAACACATGAGGATTGTTTGACCCTGATAGTACAATGTATGCTCTTCTCCTAGAGCTGAAGCAGTGCGTAACAATTTTGTGGTGAAGATGATTCCGATGCTGAATCCAGATGGTGTTGCCCGTGGACACTATCGTACAGATACTAGAGGAGTGAATTTAAACCGTGTTTATCTTGATCCTGATCCTCAACTACATCCATCAATATTTGCAGTTAAAAGTGTAATGTTGCATCATCACCATGGAAGTTCAAATGGCTTGCTGAGACCTCGGCGTACTTGTACTAATGAAAAACAACAAAAGAGAGGTGGAAGTGCTAAGTCAATTTCACGGTCACATGTAAAACGCAGCAGAAGTAAAACATATCCCCTTGACAGCTACTGCTTGGATTCTCTAACTCCAAAGGTGACTGGTACCTGCCAAACCAACTCAGAGCATAGCACTAGTAGTGAGGTAATGTTATCCTTAGTTTCATGTATAGAAGAGTAATGGTATTGTACCTTTCTTTCAGGGTGGAGTAGATGTGTACATTGACTTGCATGCTCATGCAACAAAAAGAGGATGCTTCTTTTATGGGAACTTTCTAGAAGATGAGCAACAACAAGTGGAGAACATGCTGTATCCTCGACTTGTGGCTCTCAACACTCCTCATTTAGACTTTGAACACTGCCTCTTTTCTGAGAAAAATATGTACACTTCCGACAAACGAGACGGAACCAGTAAGGAAGGCAGTGGTAGAGTAGCACTGTACAAAGCAACTGGCCTTGTTCATTGGTACGTAAATATCATATGATGTGCCTTATGAGTGGTTGGTTCCGGATGATATTCTCTTTTAGCTACACACTGGAGTGCAACTACAATAGTGGAAGACAGTGTAATGCTCTAAGTGCAGCCACCTGCGATGATGGCAGGGCTTCTCCCGCACTACCGTATTCTCCTATGCCTCATAAATACAGTGTCTCCACTTTCCAGAATGTACGTTTATATCAGTACAATAATGCGCTGCATTGTATATAGCTGCACGTATGGCTGTGAGGAACAAGAGCCTTTAACACAACCCTTTTTTGACAGACACTTGAACATATTTTGCAGGTGGGTCGTGCTCTTGCTATAGCTCTCCTGGATCTACGCAACCTCAACCCATGTTCTCGGCTCCCAACAAGTGACCCAGGCTCTTTAGCATCACTGAGAAGTACCCTTGCACTTAGAATAAAGGCCAGCCGTTCAAAGGGAAGGAAAGAAGCATCTAGGTAATGATCATTATCTCTGAAGAAGTTGTGCTTTTCCACTGTATATTTATGAGCAGGGTCGGTAATGCTCAGTGCTCTTTGCCACTAGTTAAAAGAACTATAAAAAATGATATGAGACTGAATGTTGAGAAAGGTAGGGTTGTCTTTTATATTTTGGTGGAAATAACATATTAAAATTTTGCCGCAGATACAAAAAAGTGTTGGTCAAAACCTTATGAACACCCTGATGATGTTGGAAGGAGCTATGAAGTGGCTATTAAAAACGTGGTGCTTTCTAATTCTAAATTGAGGAAAGGAGTCACTTCTGTGCATGGTAATGTTGCTTACCTTAGTACACGTCACAATTATAAGTACAAAGTACACTTATCAAAAATGTTTCCCCACTACACAAAAGTGGACTCTGCAAACCAATGATGTGAATGCTATTAAAAATGGCAAGTGCATGGGTTTGTGTCACCTATACTTCCTGGCATGTATATAGTGCAGCTATCATTACCGAACTTCCCCAAATTAAAGGGCACAATACCTGCACGGTCATGTCACACCACTGGAATACATACTGTAGGTTGTCACACTATGTTCACATGCCTGTGGGGAGTTACCACAACTTCTTATAGATGCTTTATAATGAAGTATGAAATGCCAGTACATGCAGCAAAGTACACTATCAAATTTTCCCTACCATAATACTGGACTCTTTACAAGGAAAGCATTTGTGAGGTAACTGATGACGTGAATGGCATGCCTAGCACAATACACTGTATGTCGGTACTTATGTAGCTTCAACAATGCAGCTATCATTACCTAACTTTCCCCATTACAAAGCACAGTATCATTTTACCAAACACAGAAATGCACTACTATATATAACATCACTGATGTAATGGTAAAGTAATACGCATCAATCGTAAGTGAACTTATGAGACTTTACAAGGCAAACATTGTGATGCAACCAGCGATGATAATGCGGCATGTGCTTGGTGTAGGTGTACATATGTACATAGTTTTAACAAAGCAGCTACTGGCTACTGTTGCAGAACTTTCCTTGAAGCCAAATGTGGAAATGGACTATATGTAGCACAGAGTTTGGGGTTTGCCTTTGTGATTGCCGACTTTGACCCCTGCTTGTTGAGCTGCCCAGGTAGTTTGGTGGAAAAGCACTCTCTATTGACAAAACAGGTGGAGGGTTAAATGCACCCTGCACCTCAGATTCATTGCTGCTACCATTGATTGCCTTAAGTGCTGTACATACAAGGTAGCAGTGCCCGTGTACTTCGATACCTTTTGCAATCATATGCGAGCGAAGCGAGCCCACTTAGTCCGCTCTGCTTAATCTCATATCTCGCACTATGATACACGCAACAAAAGGACACTAGAATGGTGAAGAAAACAAAATAAAAAGCCTATCTCTAAAACCCCTTACCTAAAAGGTTGGAGAGCGTTTTATTTACCGAGGCCATGTCCGCCATTTCTTTGTTAATTTTTCAAGACTGACACGCCCATGTGTTTTGTGATACTATGCACATGATGATGATTAAAAAAAGCCTGGCATAAACCCTCTCCACTACTTTGGCCTAGCAGTACAAACACTCTTCAACAAGTGCACTACCGTCAGCAGATGCCGAGTCCGATTCTTGCTCTGTCAAAATACTTTATACGCCACTTATGTTTATAGCTATCCTCATTTTCAAATTCCCAAGTGTGGGTGAATTATTTTTGCTTCATGAGACGCTTGGTTCTGCGCTGAGGGTTTGCACTTTTAATTAGTGCTTTTCATTGTCTTCTGTACATATGAAGGCTTTATCCAGTCCAGATAACATGGGTACTGCAGCCTGTACTAGAGGTATATACCAGGACCAAGCATGGCAGTTTGGCATTTGGATGGTCCTGTAGTCATCAGGTCTTGGGTGTAGCTAGCCAAAGGCTTAATCCTATGGCAATGTCAGAGATTGAGCAACTTAAAGCAGTAAACTGCAACATGTTACCAGAAATATTTTCTCTGCAGGTTCCCATAGACCAATGAAGCCAACCTCAACTAAGGTACACACCTAAACACATTTGTGTGCTCCAAAAATCCGTAATACATCAGGAACTAAGTTAAATCCCTCAAAGTGACCACACAAATCATTACTGTGCGTCAATAAGATGTTTCATCATAATTATTTGCTTGTTGGCATACAGCCATACTCTAATACAGTGGAACCCCCCTCTAAGACGGACAACTTAGAGCCACAACATTTTGTCCATTATAGCGGGGTGTCCTTTATGGAGGGGTTTTGCCTGATTATACAGTATTACACAATTTAATGTCACTAATTCACTGTTACAACATCCTTATAAGCACTAGGCCTGAGCTAAATATTCACTCATTCTTGCCTATTATTCATTTGTTTTATTCATCCTACACTCTCCTGTTATTCAAATTAGCCTTGCCTATTATTCAAGTGATTATTGCCCATTATTCAAATAAATAACCATCAAAATTGCACAAAAAGGTGGACAACGGACAAAACTAACGCACATGTGACATGGGTGATATTGATGATAAACCATGTTGTGAGAAAAAGGTGGACAATGAACATAGATCTTGATCACAACTGAGAGAACCGATTGACAACGGTTCAGATTCAGGGCTCTCGCTCTAGGCCATCTGTTAAACACGCGATATAGGTCAAAGTTCTTTTGCGAAGCTCTACGCGCATGTGCAGTGATGGACAGCTCACCGTGTACGCCTATTATTCAACAAACAAAATAGTTTACCTATTATTCAAAACGTTATTTGTGAATAATTAGCTCAGGCCTAATAAGCACTCTAGACAAGATTAAACGAGATTATGATGATGATGATGATGATGACAGTAGTCAAAGTCTATAGAAAGTACTCATCCAGTGTACTCTGTCTACCCAAAGCTAAGGTATTGTAGTTAAGGCGCTACTACGCAGAAATCAACATCAGAGAATTGCCACCGAGTCCGCTGAGGAGAGAGAGGGTCGACTACAGTCAGTATACGACGCAGGAATCATGTGCTACTTGCGCATGCGTCAGGATAACGTGCTTCTACACGGTGCTATAATTATAGGATGGCTCGTGCTCGCTCCCGCTCGCCAAAAATGCCATGCATTCGCCTACTAGTACGAACTAGTTGAAGCTCTTCGCACTGATGGACGTCTCTAAAGCAGTTTCTGTTGTAACCATGTTGTTATTTATAATTCGTTGGCAGGGGTTGTGGCAAACTGTCCGTTACGCGGGGTTTTTTCTACGTTGAAAAGCGGATTGGTTTTACTGTCCGTTAGCGGGGTGTCCGTTCTGGAAGGGTTATGAATGTACGGAACTCTATGATAAAACAATCGAGACCTGCCGAGTTTGTCCGTTATAACGGTTGAAAAGCGGATTGGTTTTACTGTCCGTTAGCGGGGTGTCAGTTCTGGAGGGGTTATGAACGTACGGAACTCTATGATAAAACAATCGAGACCTGCCGAGTTTGTCCGTTATAACGCGGTGTCCGTTCTAGAGGGGTGTCCGTTAAGCGGGGTTCCACTGTAATGTAATTTGCCCATCATTTGTGTTTGCAGAACCACAGACTACTACCAAAAAGATCTAGCTGTGAAACGGAAAGTTACTTGCATGTCCACAAATACAAGACTGAAATGGCAGGAAGGTGAGTAGTCCAGCCGATTTAACCCTTTGCCAGTCACGGTCATATAAATATTATGCCCAGAGCCTCCATAAATCCATACAATAGGGCTATAATACTAGACGATATTATGTTATACCTGCTGATTTAATAAGATACCCATGGCGTCCAAAGGGTTTTAAATCTTTAGCAATAGCATAAACAAATTCGTCTTCTCTCTTTGATTGCAGACATGTAACAACATCACGGAATAAAGCCATAAACACTGATGACTTGAACACATAGTATAGTAATCCATCATGTCTAGTGCAAATGATATCAGGCATAAAAATATAATAATCCAGGGTCCCAAACAACCAGTCTCTCAGGCTGAAGACTGTCTTATAATCTGTTAAAATGGAAATTCACAAAAGTTAAATCTTTTTGGTAGTAGTCTGTGGTTCTGCAAACAGACTAGGACAGTGAAGACTGACGGAACCACTCTTTTGTGAATTTCCATTTTAACAAGGCATAAAAATGGCATTCTTCTGAACTAATCGTCTGTAACAGTTCTGTATATACAACCTGCATAAAGAAAATGTTATTCAGCTCCGATAGCGTTAAGTAAACCTCAAACGGCAAGTAGTAGCCAGCAAACAAGTAGTAGGAACAAACCTTTCAGAAAGCAGGAAATGTCTGATTATAATACACTCGTACTTTACTAACAGTCGGGTGGAGTTTCCTGCATATTTCATGCACACTTAAATATGCCATAATTTATTGCAGTGTAGAGCTGGACTACCACATTCGTTTAAGAAAGCAGGAAATGTCTGATTATAGTGCACTTGTACTTTACTAACAGTCGGGTGGAGTTTCCTGCATATTTCATGCACATGCCATAATTTATTGCAGTGTAGAGCTATACTACCACATTCGTTTAAGAAAGCAGGAAATGTCTGATTATAATACACTCGTACTTTACTAACAGTCGGGTGGAGTTTCCTGCATATTTCATGCACACTTAAATATGCCATAATTTATTGCAGTGTAGAGCTGGACTACCACATTCGTTTAAGAAAGCAGGAAATGTCTGATTATAGTGCACTTGTACTTTACTAACAGTCGGGTGGAGTTTCCTGCATATTTCATGCACATTTAAATATGCCATAATTTATTGCAGTGTAGAGCTGGACTACCACATTCGTTTAAGAAAGCAGGAAATGTCTGATTATAGTGCACTTGTACTTTACTAACAGTCGGGTGGAGTTTCCTGCATATTTCATGCACACTTAAATATGCCATAATTTATTGCAGTGTAGAGCTGCCTGATTATACAGTATTACACAATTTAATGTCACTAATTCACTGTTACAACATCCTTATAAGCACTAGGCCTGAGCTAAATATTCACTCATTCTTGCCTATTATTCATTTGTTTTATTCATCCTACACTCTCCTGTTATTCAAATTAGCCTTGCCTATTATTCAAGTGATTATTGCCCATTATTCAAATAAATAACCATCAAAATTGCACAAAAAGGTGGACAACGGACAAAACTAACGCACATGTGACATGGGTGATATTGATGATAAACCATGTTGTGAGAAAAAGGTGGACAATGAACATAGATCTTGATCACAACTGAGAGAACCGATTGACAACGGTTCATATTCAGGGCTCTCGCTCTAGGCCATCTGTTAAACACGCGACATAGGTCAAAGTTCTTTTGCGAAGCTCTACGCGCATGCGCAGTGATGGACAGCTCACCGTGTACGCCTATTATTCAACAAACAAAATAGTTTACCTATTATTCAAAACTTTATTCGTGAATAATTAGCTCAGGCCTAATAAGCACTCTAGACAAGATTAAACGAGATTATGATGATGATGATGATGATGACAGTAGTCAAAGTCTATAGAAAGTATTCATCCAGTGTACTCTGTCTACCCAAAGCTAAGGTATTGTAGTTAAGGCGCTACTACGCAGAAATCAACATCAGAGAATTGCCACCGAGTCTGCCGAGGAGAGAGAGGGTCGACTACAGTCAGTATACGACGCAGGAATCATGTGCTACTTGCGCGTGCGTCAGGAACACATAGTATAGTAATCCATCATGTCTAGTGCAAATGATATCAGGCATAAAAATATAATAATCCAGGTCCCAAACAACCAGTCTCTCAGGCTGAAGACTGTCTTATAATCTGTTAAAATGGAAATTCACAAAAGTTAAATCTTTTTGTAGTAGTCTGTGGTTCTGCAAACAGACTAGGACAGTGAAGACTGACGGAACCACTCTTTTGTGAATTTCCATTTAACAAGGCAATAAAATGGCATTCTTCGAACTAATCGTCTGTAACAGTTCTGTATATACAACCTGCATAAAGAAAATGTTATTCAGCTCCGATAGCGTTAAGTAAACCTCAAACGGCAAGTAGTAGCCAGCAAACAAGTAGTAGGAACAAACCTTTCAGAAAGCAGGAAATGTCCTGATATAAATACACTCGTACTTTACTAACAGTCGGGTGGAGTTTCTGCATATTTCATGCACACTTAAATATGCCATAATTTATTGCAGTGTAAGAGCTGGACTACCACATTCGTTTAAGAAAGCAGGAAATGTCTGATTATAGTGCACTTGTACTTACTAACAGTCGGTGGAGTTTCCTGCATATTTCATGCACATGCCATAATTTATTGCAGTGTAGAGCTGTACTACCACATTCGTTTAAGAAAGGCAGGAAATGTCTGATTATAGTGCACTTGTACTTTACTAACAGTCGGGTGGAGTTTCCTGCATATTTCATGCACATTTAATATGCCATAATTTATTGCAGTGTAGAGCTGGACTACCACATTCGTTTAAGAAAGCAGAAATGTCTGATTATAGTGCACTTGTACTTCTCTACAGTCGGGTGGAGTTTCCTGCATATTTCATGCACACTTAAATATGCCATAATTTATTGCAGTGTAGAGCTGGACTACCACATTCGTTTAAGAAAGCAGGAAATGTCTGATTATAGTGCACTTGTACTTTACTAACAGTCGGGTGGAGTTTCCTGCATATTTCATGCACACTTAAATATGCATAATTTATTGCAGTGTAGAGCTGGACTACCACATTCGTTTAAGAAAGCAGGAAATGTCTGATTATAGTGCACTTGTACTTTTACTAACAGTCGGGTGGAGTTTCCTGCAGATTTCATGCACACTTAAATATGCCATAATTTATTGCAGTGTAGAGCTGGACTACCACATTCGTTTAAGAAAGCAGGAAATGTCTGATTATAGTGCACTTGTACTTTACTAACAGTCGGGTGGAGTTTCCTGCAGATTTCATGCACACTTAAATCCATATTGCAGTGTACGTGTCCACACTAGAAGGAAAGCTGGTCTACCAGATTCATTTTGAAAGCAGGAAATGTCTGATTATAGTGCACTCGTACTTTACTAACAGTCGGGGAGTTTCCTGCAGATTTCATGAAAAAACATGTTTATAGCATACTTGCTAAAACAATAATATGAGGAAAAGAAAGAACCTTAAACCCCCCCCCCCCCAAATTAATAGACTCATAGCAATATAAAAACTCTAAAAATTTACACAGTTCGACGACCATGCAACTTAGATAGAAAAAACGTGTGATTACTCTAAATAACGCACAACATATACACGTGTAAGAAAACAATATTAAAATGCACACTTCAATGCCATATTGCAGTGTATGTATCCACACTAGAAGGAAAGCTACTCTGCATGAAGAGCTGTATGAAATGTGAACACTTGGTGTGTCCTGGGTACCGGGGGGGGGGATAAGGGGGGGAAAAGGAGGGGGGGAAAGGGGGGAAGGGCAAAAGGGGGAAAGGGAGAGAGGGGGGGGGGGGAAGAAAGGGAAAGGAAGAGGAGGGGGGGGAGAGGGGGAAAAGAGGGGGAGATCTGCCCAAGAAAATTAAAGAACAAAAAAAAAAAAACAAAAATGGATACGAATGCGGGTTAAAGAGAGGGTGACAGACCACGTACGACAGGGAAGCGCCGCCGTATAACGAGGGAAAAAGGAGATAATTACAGTAAAAGGTACCGAAAATGCTAAGAAAACATAATAAAATGCACAACTTAAACCAAGGTCGACACATATTTGTGTGAAAGCAGGGGGGAAATAATAAGAAGGAACCGGGCTACGCTGCATAAGACAGCTCTTCTGTTACCAGACACATTGTTTAACACGAGTTGTGTGTTTGCTCACATGAGGTAGCTTCGATGTCACGTCGTACCCTGCAATGTCCGACCCCTGGCGACAAGGACCCCGCTATCCGTGGCCCCGACTTACGATTCATTGCAGGCCGATGACGTCCTATAACCCAGTTAAAGTTGGAGAATTCATATCGTAGACGTGTCGGCAATCGTTATTCGGAGCCTCCAATCTATCCTCTGAGTATAAAACTCATTTCGGAGGGAAAAACTTACCCAGCATACTAGATGGTTCTATTAGTCGTTCTCCCCCTATACCCCAATTGATGAATGATCAATCAGAAAATCTTGTAAAACTGCGCAATAGGGCTCCAGCTACTCCTGAGGGAAACTTCGGAGGGAGTGCACACTTCAGACAAACCCCCCCAGCTACTACCAAGAGTGTTGTCGAATGTAAGCGGTCGCCCTTTCCCGCACCCCGAGTTCTTCCATACCCTACTGGTCGTGATCGTCGCCTCAATCTTCAGCCGCATATATGTCCGAACCTAGCATGCTATCATCGGGGCTTTGCCCCTCAGTAGTTTCCCCACAAGTCTTGGCTTTCTTGGTCGTACCGACAAATCCCCGGCAGCAGCTCTAGTGATCCTACATGGACATTCCCTCATGTTTCCTCTGTAGGGTTACTAAGGGTCACTCTTCTTTTGTTTATTGCGGCTACCAATCCCCGCAGTCTGGAAATGACAAGCTTAACTGATAACAGACCTGTTGTAAGATGTGTTATTCACCTGAAAAAAAGCTACAACAAAAACTCTGATAAGCACAATGCATGAACACAAAGAACAACAACTAGGATGACTAAGGATCTGATTGAAGAAGATACAAAAATAACCTAGCAAATAACAGAGCAAATGACTGCAGCACCAAAACTACAGTGTGGGCACATAGAACTAGAGCGAACTGACCTACAGAATACACGCACAATAACAGTGCACACTACAAACACTCAGATCATTTTCAGACACATATTCCAACACATATGAAACTAAAAGATAACGACACGCTACAGAACTCAGCTAGATACCTCTTTTCTAACAAGTTTGCGTTTCCGTAGTCTCACACTTAGGTATCTCCCAACCGATTACCAGTAAACCACATAGACCACAACATTCTATTCTAAAACAGCTGTGTAGCTACAACAAGGTCAAAACCAACGATAGACCGACACACACAATGCACCTACATGAATAAGCACAGGCAGAGAGCCATACAAGGACATCGGATGACCTTAAAAAACGATAGAACTAGATCCCAATAGTGCGGAAAAAATGCGTAGGCCAATAGAGTCACATCCTAGAAGACATTTATGGTTCTCTTAAAAGTACTGACCATAAGCCCTTGAGGTCAGGTTCAACACAGCCATCTGGGTTCATCTTACTGTCAGGCCAATTCATTAATTTGAAGATATCTGCTTGTTTCTAAAACTCGCCTCTCTATTACAACGAAAGCAGTGCCCAACAGCATATTAACTGTCATTACCTTATCACACGAGCAAATCTTAAGGATTCTGGTGTGAATATATACCTAGTATGTTCTTATGCTTCGATCTGGGAAACTCCAGACAGGGGTCCATCCATGTCAAGTAACCCTGCCAGGCACACTCTCTTTAACAGACGTCAGATCCAAGGAGACTATTGGTAAAGTAAGCAACTGTTCGCTATCGCTGCATAATGGGAAAACGTATGTGATGCAGTTCTCATCGGTACAATAACCCGCGTTTGTCAACGTACCCGCTAATCCATAATAACAAGCCATTTTAAAATCCCATCTGGCAGGAAACATAGCAAGTTCATCAGCAACTAACAGAGAGATCCGGCGCAATCGCCATTGCAGTCTTTAAAAAATTTAAACCTATGCGACGGGAGGGGAAACGTACCACCCAGGCCAGTTCGAGAATCCCGCGGCGTGCAGCATTCGTGCTCAATTTTATTAAGGCCGGGCACATGCACTGCCTTAGTGCAGTCAGTTCTTAACCATTAAATCTACATACAATGGTAGCATCTCTACATACGAGACCATTGCACAGAAGCATCCTTCCCTCATAAAACTGCTCAGTCTCTGACTGGCGCAGCGCATTCGGCAGGCTGCAATCTGTAATTAGTGTTTAGCATGTAACTCTATAGGTTATGCATACCGAGACATCTGTCTGTCATTAAACGTCCTCGCGCTCGTCACCGCATGCGCGACAAACCGGGGTACACCGCGCACATCAACTGTGGAAATTTCAGTAGCCGCACTACCCTAAGCGGGTCATGTCGCGTACACTGCCTTTACGACTTTACAAAATGCCAAAAATGAAACAGATTGTCGTTAAAAGTGCCGCCGGTTCAGAAGTTATGGTGGCTTGCAAACCAAGTGAACAAGCCAATATGAATGAAGTAATCAGGAGAGGAAAATAAGAAAATCCAGAGTACACTCCAAGTTTTTGCATAAATCACCAAACGTGGTTTCAATGCGTGTGACTTACCATCTTAGTGAAGTTTAAGAATGAAGATTTTCGTACAAAAGTGGCCGCGTTCAGAGAAGTTTATGCGTCTTGTATACAACACCCACGGATGTTACGCCAAGGGGCGGGCAGGCGTCTAATTAACGTGCATTATGCTCAACTAGTCTCAACACTATCGCAGTTATCCCGGTCTTATCCCTGTCTGGCGCGGATCACGAGTCTTTTCAAATCAAGATTGCGGGGCGGGACGGGTATTACATAGTTCATTCGGCAGAACATGACTATGGTAGTACAAACCATGCATAATTCTACTACTGCGCCCAGAGCAGCCATACTCAACATATAATTCTCATAGTGAGGATAAATAGACATGCGCACACAAACATACTCCGCTCAGGCAAATGCTACGCACAAGCGCAGCATGCGTATAGTGAATAATGACCAAAACTGCGCTCTCTTGAAATGGGTGCGGGTGGCGGACCAGAAACCGGTATACAACTTGGAGTGGCCATATGCTAATTCGCACTAGCTTACCTCGACCTGATCCGCTTTATCTGTGTACCTCTGAGGCACTAAAAGTCACAACGAAGGGCGTGTATCGACTCCCGCATGCTATCTACTACTGTAGCTAGCCCGTGTCACACTCTCCGCGAGCTACTAGTGGCACATCACGAGTAAACGCATATAATAAGCCCAGCCCATCAATTAGCAGTACCGCGCATGCGCAGTTCGCCGAGGGTTTGCACTTTAGTGCTTTTCATTAAGATAAGCAAGTGCTGATTAGGTGTATTGGCTTTGTTGCCGTTTCTTGCCAATGTGGTCATCCAGGGATAATTAATTTTTTCACGCTTTCATTGTTCTAAAGCCACTGGTATCGCTCATACACATACGCCACCTCATAGCCTGTAGTAGCAGAATAAGCTCACACACACAGACGAAGTATTGATTGTGACCCAAGGTGAAAATGTCAAACAGGTCAATGATGCTTGGTTTTGAGACCAGACGCATGAACTATCTCCCAAAAATACTTCTCTGAGAAAGCTTGTGAGGGGATTTAGCTGGTGGAATGTCATGAAAAAACAACAGAAAATGATTATTAGGGTGTATTTCAGCTTGGATAGGTGTGAGGTTGAAAAGTAGAGCATGTGAGATCTCATATACACTAAACCCAATGCATACTGATGCCCCAATATTATAATGCCCGGAGGCTGTATGGTAACCAATGTCAATAATAATAGCGAGAGAGGGGAGAGAGGGAGTGACAGAGGGAAGGAGGGCGGTAGGGAACATACCTGTACTTTCTCCATCTTCCTGATACTCTGTTGTAGAGATACCGTACTTCTTTTATGAGAAGTCTGGTTAGTGACTGTAGTGATTGTCAATGTAAATGAAATGGAAAACAGAACAACCATACACTTACTAATGATGCAAGGAAGCAACTTGTCATTAGAACAAAGAACGCTTGATCCCAACCCTACATAAAATACCATGGCATTGGGCATCAATGTACTGAAATGTTTGTAGTCAGAGTAACGGTGCTTGATTTGTCTGCCCTGTCTATCTGTTACTGCCACCAGTGGTTACCATAAAGCGATGATGACAGGTTCAGCACTACACTACAACATTTATGTACATCAAAATGTTATGGTATCAAAAAAGCCAACATACTAATGACCCCCATGACAAGTAACCCATTTGCCGAGCCCAGCCCCAACCGCGATTGATTAAGGATGTGTTGGCAATCCCAGGAACGGGACTCTGGGCAAGGTGAAACCAACCTAGGTAATCGACCCCGGTTTAATGAGGGGTTCGGCTAAGCGGCCCAGACATCCGCCAACCTAGGATAGGATCGGTGGGAGTCGTATAGATATAGAGTGGTGGAGCTTGTCACCCTCTGAATCACAAGACCAGAGCTAATTAAGCATGTGTACAATGTGTAAACCACTGTCATTGTGGCTATGTTAACACTTACAAATTCATCAGACACCCACCCAGTGATGAGTGGGCCACAGGCTGCACCTAAAAAGGTTAAAACCCATTCGTGTTAAAAAACACAGCATATACATGCATTATACATACATACCAAGAGAGCCGATCCCATCAATGATTGCACCAACGGTTGCTTTTGCTTTAGTGTCGTCTTTCAAGGACTTGTGAGTTCCCTAGAATATCCATAAATACGTTTCTTGGTGAATTTATTTATGAAATTAAGTGTTGAAGCGAGCAATGTTTGTGTGCATAATGTACACATGAGCTGCATTTAGTAGCAGGTGCCAAGTTAGAGATACTATCAAGTGTTTTGAGTAAAAATTGCACTTATAATATTGCTTTAAAATGTGACACAGGGGGGGGGGGTGGGGGGGTGCTGAATCAGCATATTGTCTTGAGTAAGTGAATTTATTAGGACACCACAATACTGGTTGGAACCATAACTTTCTTTCTTGCTAACGGCTTCTGAATGAACCCGACTAAGCTTGTGGATTTACAATGCTCAGGAATTTTGGCTCAACTTTCCACTGCCCTTTATTACTACAGAACAGCAGTCATTGAATACAGCATTAGCCAAGCAACCGAGACAGGTATATACGGTAGGGAACCTTAAAATGTACATTGGATATTAGTGCTAGGTCCGTTTTATGAACATTTGCACTTCTGGTGAGAACCACTTATGCTCACTGCGACTAGCTCTGGGAAAAAACAGATGTTTAGGCCGGTATGTACACATAGGACTATCTAGTATATAGTGCACTATTTTTAAGTACGTATCTGTGTAGGTGGGTAAGTTTTCTCACCAGGTCATTAGAAACTGCAGTGGTTATCACAGCATAAGGTCCATTGATGAATAAACCGCATAACATTACCAAACCTTCATAACAGCATCACTAATTAAACAACAAAACTGTTTTAATACCACTTACACACAGTTAGGGCATATGACTCATGACCTACCGAGCGATATACGAAGAGCTGCAAAAAACAGAAAGTATACAATTCACCGTGGCAACTGGCTGCATTTGGATGTGTAAATATCACTAAGTATGGTATATGGGCATGGAACCTAAAATCATAGATGTATTGGGCTACGATAGGGTAAGTTCTTCTTCAGATTCAACACACATAACTCAAAAACATAGTCATAAAACTTTGTAGGGATGTAGACACTATAACTAGATTTGTACTTTTTTTGCTTGTAAACAATGTTGTTTACTGTAAACAACAGCAAATAGCTACAGGCAATACATTATAAAGGGCACTCATGTGTTAGTGTTAACTCATAAAAGGTAAGAGCTACGTGAATGAACTTTGCATACATACATATGTACTCAATCACCAGCATTACAATACATGTTTGTAAACAACAAAAATAGCCTCATTTTAAACAATTTACTTCCTCACTTCTAATGGTAGAGTGCATGGATATGAAACTTGGTACATATTACCATGAGAACCACATGTTTCCATGATGACTACATGATGATAAAAATAACCTTAGGTATATACTTCCCTTCGAAACCACCAAAAACTTACTAATGATACCGTGCATGGAGATGAAATTTGGTATGCACGCAGTTCACTGGTGGTAAAAGATCTCTTTAACCCACCATCCCTGGTTCTCAAGGCCAGGGCACCCATTATGCCTAGGTTATGCTAGCTAACCTCTCTAATGATGCTGCCCTACACTTTTATTATTCTATTACTAGTTATATATACATATTTGTATGAATGTGAAAAGTTATATTTTCATAAATTCAATTTTGATACCTTTTATATGACGGTTTTGTTTATTTTTGAAGGATGAGGTCCTCCTTTTTGATACTATGTTGTTGTTTTCATTGCGTGTAATGTGTCTCTACCATCGAGCACTGCGGCTTACGCATGTATGTATATTCCCGCATTAGTAAGCCCATGTGATTATATGCACCTTACAGCCCTCCTTTCTCTTCTATTTCCTTCTTAACAAGTGTGAGCTGTTACATGCGTATTACATCGTTACCATGACAATTACATGTTTGTAAGCAACAAGAAATAGCCTCGGGCACTTTTCTTAAAAAAATATTTCTTCATTACTCAAACTTGCTAACGGTAGCATGAATTGAGCATTAAACTTGGTACGCATGTGTATTACATCACTTCCATGAAAACATGCTTGTAAACAACAACGGCATTTTTTCTATTATTAAGTTCTTATAGGACAAAAGACAACGGAACTTGGCGGTGCGAGCAGGGCAAGCTTGAGTGGCGCTATGTAAACAAACCCGCACGAACAGCTTGCAGACCTACCGCCTGCACACTGAAAGCCTTTCTCTGTAAGTGTTTTGCTGTCAGCTCTAGAGGATGCACCAGTATTTCTCACCAACTGTTTTTCTACCACTTGGAACAACCCATTGATAATAGATGCAAGTATGTGTTTATTAATAAGCCTCTTAACTCACCGTAGGGACCGCAAAGTACATCATAGTTACACAGGATATCGCTCTTGAGTCAAGTACATCAGATATAGCTCCAGTAGCAATGCCACCTTTGTGTCAAAGAGAGAAGAATTTCAGGTAAAACTTGACTGCACTGCACAAATTGTTTATTAGGGACCTGAATAATCTTCACAACTGTTAATGAACTTTCTCAGTGTTACACAGAGTGATGCCCTACCCTATCCAAAAGTATCTGACCACTTCTTGATATTTCATTTTCATTGCCGAGCGGGACAATGTTCAACATTTCCACTAGTAGTAAACATATA